CCCCCCCCCCTCATTCAAAACCCTCAGCCTCGAATCTAAATCACATTCAAATACACTATACAACACTATACTAAAAAGCCATCATATCAAAACACAACACCATCTCACCATCTAACCTTTCTCCCCCCTTTCCCCCCCCCTCCACGAAAGGACCCACAAACGTGAGACGTCCGGAACGACTTTAGAAGAAAAGCTTACTTGTACCCTGAACTTAATACTAGCTGTGTAAAGATATCGACAAACTCATATAAAAAAAGAGAAAAAAGAAAAAAAGAGGAAAATAGCAAAAAGAAGAACGCCAAAAAAATCCTCACCCTCAAAGAAGGCGGCGGCCTTGGACAATAAACCAAACGAACTGAGTTTTTTGCGGTTTGACTGGTCAATCTGCAAGTAAAGCTCTCACTAATGTTTCCATTAAGCCATGCAGGCATGTACCGGACGACTTGGTGTGAGATGTGTTACTTGAGGTTATGAATGTGAGAGGGTAAATTAAGGATACGACCTGAAATTGATCCAAAAGAGTACTTATTTATCTATTCACCTCCTCGTTTCGTTGCGGAAGCTATCTAAATCACAAGAGCAAACTATTCAATGTAAGGGAGGTAATTGCATTCCTTGAGAGCTAAATAACTGACTTGGTGTCACTATGAGCCAAAAAGAAGTCCATCCCGCTTGATATTTCCATAGAAGCCACGCAGCAAATCGCAAGTGTTACTTTGTGAAGTTTTCGTTGATGTAAGTGTTTTGTCCAGATCCCAATCTGCATCAATATGCAAGTAAACTCTTTGGAGTCTTCCAGCTGAATGCAAGATTCAAAGTCATGTCCCCAAATTGGGACTCGATTCGTAAATCCAGGCCTTGTTCGAAATATATTTGATTGACAAGAAAGCCGCAGGATCAATATTGATCATGCCCAACAAATCAATGATAATGGTTGCATATGATTTTAGGTCAAAATGGCGATCAGAATCAATCTGCCGACAAGTTAGCTGCATCAGAGGAAGACTGATCCATGTAAATAGACTTACAAGAATGATATTGGTAAAAGCCCTGAGAGTTGTCAAAGTTGTCAAGAATCTCGTAATCAAATTCCTCACGCTCAGCCAAGCTGGTGCCTCGATCATATTGAGAACGTCGGCGGCGTTGCTCATCACGAAGGTGTTGACCTGCACTTGGTGCGAATAATCCGACATGCTCGGCATTTTCGCAACTGCGCTTGAGCTTTGAAGCATTGTCAGATCCCGGAAAGACGTCCTCCTCTCCTGCTCTGCCGAAAGGATCGCTAAGAGTGAAGAACAACTTTGGTCGGTAGTGAGCTGGCTCCAACATGACTGAAGAATTGCGGAATTTTTGAATCAGACAATCTCGGCCTTGAATGGTTGCGTAAGAAACCTCAGCGACTTTGTCACTCTTGAAACGGTGCCACTTTTGGTTAGATCTTGCCTCCACGAATGTGATAATATCGATGGGGTCTACAAAGTTGATAAAAGCGTATCCAACATTGCAGTTGTTTGAGAAGTCGATGCGAAGATACATGAAGTCGTATCGTCCAAAGCTTGATTCGTCAACGATACCCTTCAACATGGCCTGGTCGACCTTGTTTGGGATATTGCGTAGCATGACCGTAGTACGAACGTCTAAACCCCCTCGAATTCTAGCGATATCAACATGGTTATGCTGCCCTGCTGCTGGGTTCTGATGAGATCGACGAGCGTGTGGTGGAACCTTAACAGCGTTTTGGCGACGTCCACTGGAGCGATTGAAAGGTCCCAATTCTCGAGAGTTGACTGGTGTAGCAGGGCTGTAACACAAACCTTGCTGTGGGTACGCAATTGGACTTGCACTCTGATCGCCACCTGGGTAAGGATACAATGGAGGAGTAGCAAACATTCCGGGAGCCATAGTTGCAAGACTTCCAGTAATTGGCGTTGATCCATGTATGGGAGTCATCATCTGCGGTTGCATGGCATGCGGAGAAGAAGGGTTGTAAAGACCACCCAGCATTACTGGTACGCCATGAACAGACCCTTGGGCCATAGCAAAGGCAGCACTGGCAGGAAAGTACGCCAATCCATTGGTCATTGCTTGAGGTTGATTTGCAAAAGCATTTGAACGATCGATGGATCCCGGTGTTCGGGTTGGAGCATACGCATTGCTTCGGTCAACCGACCCAGGGGTTCTGGTTGGTGCATATGCATGGCTTCGATCAATGGCACCAGGAGTACGATTTACAGAGGTGTTTGAGGGATAATTGTCTGCTGTTCGAACTGAGTATGCCTTGGATCGATCGATGGGGCTTCTACCAATGGTAAGAGCGTTCAAGGAATCACTCAAACGATGCGCTCTGTCAGTCGATTGCCGAGTTGGAGTACTTGTAGCCGTAGGACGAGTATCGGTGTGCAACTCTGGGTTATGTTGCTTTGCTGTGATCGAAACTGGGAGTTCCTTCTGCAAAACAGTCAGTCAAACGCTCTTCAGATGAACCAGTGGAATCTAGCCCGACTTACGCTCTTATTCATCGCAAGAATTCTACCGATAGCTCGAGTGGCAATTGCTGCATCGAAGAACTCGGCAAGAAGCTTGTAGGAACCGGGTTGATGGGAAGGGAGCTTTCGCCACGCGCAAAGCGGGCCTTCAGTGGCTAGCAGCTTTCGAAGTGATACTTCGACTTCTTGTTGATTTACAACTCGATCGACAGGATAAAAAGCCTCAAGAATGACTTCTCCTTCATAATCGGACGGCTTGGAAGGACCGGGGGATACAACCTATGTTCAATGTATTCAGAAAATATCTTGATAGATTGGGGAGCAGCTTACCTGAGCCCAAGCTGTCGGCTTGATGTACGATACTTCAAGGGTCTCTAGGTTATCGACCTTCAACGCAGTGTAAATATGAGCAGCATCAGCAATATTCGACTCTCGAATATACACGGTGTTATTCATAATGGTCAAGCGGTTCGTGCCAAGGCGCTTCCACTTTGTCACCTCGAGCTTCTATGACAGAGGTGAGAATTGAACCGTTTGCAAAGGGGAAAAGAGGGAAAGGCTTACCTTGAGAGATGCAGCAACCAAGTTCTCGACATCAGCACCGTAGATTGAGGATATCTTCATACAGCGAGAGGCACCAGTGTTTGTTGTAAAGGTGCCATAATGATCATTCTCGCCAACGTTGAGATTTTGCTTTTGAGAGTAGTCGGCATGAATGGGAGACATTGACGAGCTACTACCGCGAGCGGCAGAAGAGCTCGCTGCAGGTTGACCAGAAGGGACTGCGAATGGCTGAAATGCCATGGCAGTGGCGGAGAGCTTTGGCTTTGCCGTAACGAAGGGATCATGATGGCCTGCTTTGAGGGGGGTGCTACTAGCCTTTGAGGTGGTTGACTTGAGCTTGGAAAGGGTAACACGATCCTCAGGGCTGAAAGCCGTCAACTTACTCTCCGGGGTGGCTTCGTAGGATCTGTTGCTGCTCGCAGAGGAGCGGGGGCTTGCTTGTGATTGCATGTTGATCTGGATTATGATTAGCATATTCATGTCGAGCCCTGCGGTTAGCTCTGGGTCGAGCTCTGTATTGAGTTGCATCTTGAGTTGCATGGTGTGTTGGAAGGGAAAAACATCGTAGAAGAAGTAGGAAGGGGGAGAGAGATGTGGGGAAAAGAGGGGCGAGATTCAAAGGTGAGGTTGCAAGATGTCGCTGAAGTCGAAATGTCGCTTCAGAAGGGTAGGTGAGGAATGGAAAGGAGACTCACAAAGTTGTCCCAAGTTTGTTGGATCTGTACCAAATGTGCCGCAATCAATTGCACGTCCAAGGATACTGAACGTCTGGGGGATAATGTTAGTGAATGATGTTTTATAGGAAGATGAAATAATGGTGGATGGAGAAGGAGGGAGGAAGGAGAAGAAGGCGCAAAGATATGTGATGTGCGCCTGTCTAGCTGGAAGTATGAGAGGTGGGTATCTCAACTTCGAGATCAAGATCCCCCCATGATCAGGCAGTCCCAGTGCGCCACAGAAAGAAGGCAAAGAGAGCGAGATGAACATACCTGATATGCAATCCAAAGAACAGAGGATGACCCAATTCTGGACTAAATCTGCGTGTGCAGAACAAAAAAGAGGTGAGGATTGAAGGATGGATAGAGGTTGGGTGATCTAGAAATCGCGGTGTTGATGTGTGTTGAGGGGAGAAGAGAAGAAAGAGAGGACGGGAGCGGGGCTGAGAAGTAGATATAGGTATAACGAGGGATTCCTGCTGTTCCAAGATCCAAAGTCCTAGTCGCACCTGCCCTCAAAATCCAAAGGGGGCTTTATACGTTGTGATCTATTCAAGAGGAAGGCGCGGTCTGCGTGGTGCGTCATGCGTTTTTGGAATGGTGGTCGGTTGGATGGAGGGAAAGAAAGAACAAGGTCGGCGGACGAGAATTTGAGAAAGTTTGTAGTGTTGATATAGCGTAACTCTTGCTTCCTGGAGCAATAAACGATCCAATGAGAGCCTTTGTATATCAAAAGACTCCTGCTCCTTGCCAGTCGGCGGCTCGGTCTTTTTTGTCCCGAGGGGTACGCGCAGAAGGTACGCAGGGTAAGGGGAGGAGGTCGCGTCTGGTATCTGGTATCCAAGGAGGGAAACAGATCCAACATGAACATGCGTGGGTGACTTGTGCCTTGCCTGCTCAAGTTTTGGATTTTGATGATGAGATATATCATATGTAATGTAGAGAATGTAAGGAATTGGAAGTCCAAGGGGATATCATATAAGCACCAATGAATTTTCGAAATGCAGAACCAGCTCCATTTCACCCAGCATTTGTATACAAAAGAATATCCATTCGCTTGCGCTGCGTATGATTCACAGTACATCTTCTGGCATACACCAGAATCATTCACTGATCATTCGCAAACTTGAAAGCATCAGACACCCTTGTGGCTTTCTGAAAGAAATCAATCCCAAAGTCTTCCTGAAAATATGTTCACAAAGGGCTCTTGAAGGCCAACAAACACGATGCAGTAGACCTCCTGTAAAGAGAAATTTCGCAAAGGTGCGCTGCCACTTGGGAGAGCACCGTATAGTATTTATAGACTGATTGTCGTATATATGTGAACTGTGATATGTTGAGAATAGCCTGGCAGAGGAGAGACAACTGTAGATGGATCTCTGTGCTGTAGTCGCAAGTCGTTTGTCAGTCTTGACGTTGGGACTCGTTCAAAACAAACTTTGGGGATTGGTATCCCCTGTGTTGTTTCTTGATGGCAATAACATCTCAGAAGGTCCTGAATATTGTCTGTAAAGTATTGAAGGAGTTGGGAACTTAGATACAAAGCGAGGAGCAAAGAAGAAGAGTATTGTATTACCCTGATCATGACTCACTCAACCTCAACCACAAACCGGCTTCAGCTTTGAACCGACTTCACCTTCAAAACCAGCTTTAAACTGACTTCAGCGTTCTTCAAGATATATTACAATTCAAACACAGGAGCCTTGGAACCACACCCAAATCAATGCAGTTGAACTTATACCCAATAGAGTATAAAATAAGAGGATGAACAAGTGAAAGTTCCGTTCTTGTCGCATTTTTTCCATGCAGGTCCTAGACCTCATTTGCAGATATACGAGAATATACTTGAACAACAGACCATATCTCTCACTTGACAAACTAAGCACTGCAGAACTGGCCCTTTGGCAAAGAATTACCAGCTCTTATAACACTTTATATTCTTTCAAGATTCGTAGATAAGATAATCTTGCAACGAATCTCCGATATATAAGACCAAGGAAATCCCCAGATCATTTGTATATAGAAAGTAATTATAAGAGTCTGAATATACATTTTCCAAGTACAGATAGAATGAAATCAGCAAGAAAGATATGCCAAAAAAGTCTGGAAGCAACAATAGTACTGTCTAGAGAAGGCGAGGAGAATAAATATACTCCTTCTTCAGCACCTTTCAGTAGAATTCTTGTGTTTCTCCTGGGCTTGATTGTCACAATATCCTCAAGTGAATTAATTGAATGTAAACCACATAACAGAGTTCTATCTCCTTGTTCACTTGAATCTGTCACCAAAGACCCTGTAGATAATCAACAGTTTTGGCTTCATTTCTGAGTGGGGAAAGTAGTACCTGTCTTGTTCTTGGAGCTAGCAAAGAATGGGAAATGGACGTTGGAATTTAAGTTACATCCACACCTACAACCCAGTAAAATTAGCGGCGAAATGATTATCCGAGAGATCCGAGGCTACGAGTACATACCATTGTACAATCGGCATCAAAGTAACGTCTGAAGCAGAACTACAACTAAAAGAGCAAAGCGTTACATTTTCGAACTCCATAGGCTTATGCCATGGTTCATACAGTTTTCTAAGCTATCGAATTTCCTACAAAATGCCTAGGAAGGCGCCCCAATACGATGATTACCGCGTTGCGGTGCAACAAGTACTATCTCCCCACATCCAAACCTTGCGGCTCCAACTAACCACTCTCAGATCATTCTCTCTTCCTCAGACACGGATTATCTCGATCAACTGATACCCGCCCTCAAAGATGCTACGATATCTGGTCGAACCGCGGGGCTCACTCAGAGCTTGTCGCAATACGCAGAGGAGCGCGAGGCTGACATCGAGCGAGTTGGCATGACGAAGCACGATGAATTCCTCTCCTCCGTAAACCAGTTGCAGAAAGTTAGAGAAGGTACCATGGCGCTTACGACGGATATCCTGTTGCTCAATCAATCCATACAAGCCAGCACGGAGAAACTGGCTGCGCAGAAGGGAGCCCTGGTGGATACCAAGGCTGTACGGCAGAACATAGCAGAGGCATCTGATGCATTGCAAGAATCGTTGAAGGTATTGCATGCCGTCAATCAAGCGCACGATTTGATCCGCAAGAAGAAATACTATGGGGCGTTGAAGGCTTTGGACGATCTTCAGAACGAACATTTGATCCCTAGTCTCCAGAACAAATATGCAACTCAGCACAAGCTCGCAGATATAATACAGAAATCTATTCCTTCCTCGCAGAAAGCCATCTCCGAAGCTGTTATGAGTGACCTAAATACGTGGTTGTACCGGATTAGAGAAACTTCACAATTCCTGGGCGAGGTCGCCTTTTACCATACCGAAATGCGGAGGACGAGGCAGAAGGAACGAATGGAGGGAAATCCGTATCTGGCGAACTTCAAATTGAATTCTGCGATTGAATTGGTATTTGATGAGAGCGAGGAGTTTGATGTTTTGGACAACGAGGAATTACAAGTTGATTTTACGCCACTCTTCGAATGTTTACATATCCATGAAGCCCTTGGTCAGATTGAGAAATTCAGAGCGGACTATGCGACTACGAGAAGGCAACAGAAGGAGTTGTTATTGCCTACGTCTGTCAATCTATTAGAAGATGATGAGAATAGTTTAAGCAGTTTATTAGAAGGCATTGCCGGATTTGCAATTATTGAGAAAGCTACCATGAGGAGAGCCCACAATTTACGCTCGCCTGTTGATGTAAGTGCACCTGTCTGGATGAAGATGTTGCATTGCTCATGATAGACAGGTTGACGAACTCTGGGATTCCATGTGTAGTACGGCTATCAAATTGATCACGAAAGCTTTGGACCAGGTCGATAACGCCGAAGTTCTGTTGAAAATCAAAGGAGTCATTGCCCTCTTTATACAGACTATGGAAGTAAGTTTCTCATTTCAACTTCGATTGAATCTACTGACTCGTATAAAAAGGGTTGGCATTACAATGTCACTGCGCTCGACAACTTTCTGCTGAATCTTTTCGAAAAGTATGCCGAGTTACTGAAGAAGAGATTTAGTGACGATTTCCAAGAGGTATGTAGACATCCTGTTACCCTTTTGTATTAATATTGACTTGTTGCAGATTGTTTCCAGCGACGATTATATGCCAATGCCCATCGATAACATGGATGAGTATGATAAGGTGGTCAACGTCAGTTGGTTTACGCCTGAGAAACCAAGAGAAGAGCTCACGTTAGTTGATCTTACCTTGAACGCATTACATTTACTAACTTCAAAACAGCTTCCCCTGCGTTCTTCCATTTTCTCAGATGTATCCTCTGTGCTGTATCGATATCCGAAATTTCCTCAACCAGTTTTATTTCTTCTCAGATGATCATTTCCAACAACCAAACGTGATTGACGAGACCCTCAAAAAGGTAGGCACAACTTCTGAGAATGTTCCCCGTGGATTGGCTAACCTCTTTTCAGTCACTTGATCAACTTCTATCTCAAAAAGTCTGCAAATCTTTAGTCGAGCGTCTAAACTCCCAATACCTAGGCCAAATCGTCCAAATCCTCATAAACCTCGAACACTTCGAAATAGCCTGCAAAGAACTAGAACAGCTCCTCATCGCTGCCCGCTCCTCCACTTCAGCAGGCGGACCAATCGTTCTCGATGCCACGGAAGAATTCCGAAGTAACAAGAAGACCGCTGAAAAACGTATCTTCGAGCTCGTAAACTCAAAGATTGACGACTTAGTTGAAACTGCCGAATATGACTGGTATGTAAAATTGACAATATATATCCGCGTGTGTACTAACTTCATGGAACAGGATGGCACCAACCCTAACCTCCGAACCAAGTGGTTACATGCAAACCCTAACCGGGTACCTAGAAAACATCATGTCCTCCACCCTCCTGGGACTACCACTCCAAATCAAAGAACTAATCTACTTCGACGCCCTCTCCCACACCGCAAACATGATCTTAGTACATCCTCCCTCCACTCCTCTCCCTTCTCCATCCCCAACTAACCAACCTCACCAGCAACTCCCCCTCGCGCCAACCGTCAAGAAAATCAACCCCAACGGCGTCGCCGCCCTCGCAAAGGACGTCGCCTACCTCTCCTCCTTCGTCGACACCCTCGAGAACGCGCTACTACTCCGCGAGAACCTCGATGAGCTGCAGCAAACCGTGGCGCTGATGCAGACGGAGAACCCGGATGAGTATTACGATGCCAGCACGCGGAATAAGAAGTTTGGACGGGTGGACGCTATGAATGGGCCGTTGATCTTGGAGAAGTATGTTCTTTCCCTTCCCTGTTTTTACCCGTCTCTTTTCCTTTATTCATTCTTCCCTTTTGTCTTTTTTTGGGGAAAAGGAAGGGGGAGAGAGAAGGAATAGGGAATGGTGTATTTTTGGGCTGGGAATAAGTGCTAATATATTTATCTATTCGCAGACTTACACATTCCATCACGAGTCCCATGACGACTAACGATCGACTGGCGAATTTCTCCTCGAGATTCGGGATGAGGTGATGGATGAATGGGAGCTATGAAGAACGGATTTGCAAGCAGGGAAAGGAGATCAAGGAGACGAACCAATCAACGGGCCAGGAGACGAGGTACTTCAGGAGAGGGCAGGATTTTTCACAAGCGACGCGGAAAGCCCGGGAAACTTTGGGAACTGGGTGGGCGAAGTGTATTGTTTGGGTTTGGGATGGATGGATGCATGGACGTGGGTTCATACATGTATCGGGTGCTTAATTGAAGAGGTTCTGAGGGGTAGGACTTCATGATGCCGAGGTGAAGGGTGAGTTGAAGACAGTCACATCACATCATTGTAAGAAAAAAACAAGATGTACATGAAAACATTATTTTAAAAAGAGATCACCATCATGAAAGTTTTCTGCCCATCATATCATAGCCCTTGTACTGTTACGATCCAAGCGCCAACGCAAGTTTTCGCAACTGAAAATACTGTAAGGGGGTACTCGTTTCCTTTCCGGAACAAAAGAAAGAGAAAAGGATCGAATCATCATGAAACTCCGAGGAAAACACACATATATCATCATCCATCCATCTGCTTCGTCGCCCTACATGAACTAAACATCTAACCGACCTCATAATCTCTCTCACCCTCCGCATCAGCGTCGGCATCACCTCCGTCGTTTCGTGGGTAGTCGTGACCTGCGTCATGGCCCACTCCTGATGGATCATGTGGTCGCTGTTGTTGGACTTGGTACATGTTCTGATTGAGAGTTGTCAATTCATATTTCCCTTCTTGTTTTTTGGATAGAAGTGACAGGTTATATATTTGAAGAGTTTGAGTAGGGCTGAGTGTCAGTCGAGCTTACTTGTTGGGGTTGTCCCATACTAGGATAACCATAGATTCCCTCCATCTCATTGTACATGCCCGGAGCTGGTGCGCCATAAGCAGCCGTTGGGTTTTGTTGACCGTACACAGGTTGCTGGTAAGCGTCCTCGGGAGCTAGGCCAGCAGCAGGCATATAGGTGGGTGGCTGTGCCATGTGTTGTTGAGCTGGGTGATTAGGCTGTTGCTGCGGAACATGCTGAGGAGGGAGTTGAGCACCGGCTGGTTGACCTTGAACTCCTGGGGCTGGGGCAGTTCCTCCAGGAGCTCTCTTCGCGTGTTGAGCAGCCTCTTCGCGGGGTACGATGTCAATTAAGAAATCGAACATGTCAGATTTCGCCAACGCGGATGCGATATCAGATCTCTGCAGTGTTCGGCGTTTGTTCTCCTCGGCGTGAATCCATGCGCGCATGGTAAGTTCAGTGATGAAGATGTCGCAGCCTTTTGCGAATAATATAGGCGCTTCGGCCGAGATCATCTTGACATCTGGATCAGCCTTCATGACCTTCTTGATTCGGGCCAGTGGGAGCTGGTGAAGCTTGTAGTCGTGCGTCTCCGTTTCTAGGTGGGAGATTATGTGTTGCCAATAGGTCGTGAGGATGTCCTTGTAGTTGCCGTGAAGACCTTGGTTGACCTATACCCCTCATCAGTGACAGCTCTCTGGCGAGTACAATGAATGATCTCACATTTGCCCAGGCTCCCGTATAAAACTCGGCGACGGGCGCATATCCTTGAGAGGCAAGCTAGAGAAAATCAGTCAGTCGATCGGTCTTTGATGCATCGGTATGCGCGATGCGCGAGCCCATCTGGGTGAGAACGTACAGCAGCACTGGCACCTGTCGCAAGAAGCAGTCGTTAGCCAATGAATTCCATCGAGGTACAAGACGGCATTTTTGTTTGCTTTCATAGGATCGTGGAATTCTCGGAAACTAACCATAATGACCTCCATGATTGGTATCATACACCGGCTGTGCGCGTTGCCCTGGTTGTCCGTGGGACGAAGCTGGTGGGTTCTGCGAATCCATGTTCAATTCGGTCAAGTTGCGGTGTTTCGTGGAAAATCGCGATCACCACGGTCGCAGGAGATGAGATGGGATATCGATCCAATGAATCCAGTCAAGGGATGCGATGTGTGGTCGGTCGAGTCCAGCGGTCGAGTCTTTGTCGACGGCGGCGTTTGTTGTTGGAGGCACGGTGGATTGCTCACGGTTCGGTGCAGGCAGATGGCGGAAGCTGACCGTCCGGTTTGAAGACGATCGGTGAAGCTGTAACCGAAGGTGCAGAGTGCGACGGGAGCGAAATGGAGGCTGTCGCACACTGGAAGTCGGCTTGCGCGACCTTTTGTTGAGGTTCTCGCGATGTCAACAATCGCAACGAATTGCTTCGTTTGATTGGTTGGTCAAGAGAGCCTTAGTGGTTGGTTGAAAAAGGAGGCCGAGGATTTGAGGAGAAAGCGAGCCAGTCCACGACTCGTCGAATGAAGACCGGGAACACCACTCGAATTCCCGTCCTATGAGGTGGACGAGAGCGATGATACGACGTTAGGTGCCTCGTCGGCGGTTCGGTATCGGTGTCTGTGTCGGTTCCTGGATGATGGTCCCGGTGGTGTGTGGGTGTGTGTATGTGTGTAAGACTGTGAGGTCGCAACATCGAGGCAGAGAGGAGGCAGCTGGTGGGAGGGTCAACTAATGAGGGGAAGTCTTCGCGGTACTTGTTACGTCGGGATGGGATGAATACGGAGTCGCAACGCAGCGCAGCACAAGTACCGTGTACCTATTCACTCGACGAATGACGATATACCGCAATATGTCACCACGGCCCTCGGATTCGTGGACGAGGCTTATTATATGTATATTAGAGCGAATGCTTGTCACGGTCTATCGAACACCAACCCTCTCACTCTTCCTTTGCACATATTGGGCAGCTTTCTCGTCACCCCGTGCATCGCATCGCTCGGTGCGAGTGCTCACGCTCGCGCTCATGCTCCTGCTCATGGTGTGGGTATGCGTTGTCCATCCATCATCACCACTTCACCCTTCAATTAAGAAGCCACGCTGCAGGGCCAACATCCATCGCGCATCATCCCACGCCAAAGATAACCTCCCTCGCTCTCCCGACGCCGCAACAAGGCTGAGCAGAGGACCGCAGTCGGACGAGGAAGGTGGTGGTTGTCTTATATCGAACTTGGAAGCCCTCTCGATCAGTGCCCAATGCCATCTCACGATGCATTCTCGGCCAATCATAGAAATGAAGCGGTGAATGGTACGTTGATTCCTTGTAAAACATGGCGAACCCTTCGTCATCGCTTCGATCATTCTCCACGGTCATTCCGTATTTCCCGGCATTTCGTAACAATTGCCAATATTTTCTTGGATAGAGAAATAACTAGTTTCCCTTTTCCCAAGTTGTATTATCTTGACCGTCTACTTCCTGAAGCGAGGATCCGAAGCGACATTCAGGATTCAAGCCTTCTATTTCAGCACAAAAAGCTTCTACTAGATTCATGAAAAAGAATTGGAAACGAAACTTACAAGCAGCTTCAATAATAATTCAACTCCAATAAACCATCGTAATAAAAGATTCCAAAGGGAGTAGGTAAACCTGGAATTCATCATTATCTGGGTCACGTGAATTTTGCGATTTCTAGCCTAGGCCTTAATGCGACTAGCCTCCGAGCTAAAATCCTTCCCTTCTTGAAATTTTGTACAGCCCGAAGAAGTGCCCCAGACAGCTTCAACTCCCACGTCAATCATGGCCGACGACGATCTTTCCGACGAGCAGCTTCAGCAATTGCTCAAGGATGCTGAGCAGAGGTTGAGGGCAGCCAAGAAGAAAGGCTTCGCCCAAGAGACCTCGTTGACAAGCCTCCAAAGGTATGCTGCGCAATTCCAACCATGGCCTCTCGATGTCGCGCGATCTCTTACTGACAAGATCCGCATCCAGGCTTCCCAAGATCGCATCAGATAGCCCCATCAGCTCGTACATACAAAAGACCAAGCAAGGCGTGCAAATAGATCCTTCTATGCTTGTAAAGGCAGAAGACCGAAAACTTGCGAATGTCATAAGGATCGTTGAAGACCCCATTATGGTCAAGGCAAACGCAGACAAGGTAAGCTTCTACAACTTGCTCAACATTTCATGTTCTTCGATGAGGAAAATATCCCAAAATTTCTTGACGTGGGATCTGGTCCCGTCTTGGGTACCACCCTGCACAAAATGATTTCTTATTTTCATAGTTACACTGAGAAGAAACAAACACAACAAATTTCTTTTGAATTGTACATTCAATCAGAAACTAACTGTAATCATAGGTTGCGAAAGCTACTGCGGGCGCAGACTGGTACAATTTACCAAAAACCGTCCTGACTCCAGAACTCAAACGCGACCTACAATTACTTCGTATGAGATCCGTCCTTGATCCCAAGCGTCATTACAAGAAGGAGGCATCCAAACCCCAAGTACCCGAGTATTCGCAAGTCGGTACCATCATTGAAGGACCGACAGAATATTTCAGTTCCAGACTCTCCAACAAGGATAGAAAACGAACTCTGGTTGAAGAAACCCTCCAGCGCGAGCAGAACACCCTGCGGTTCAAGACCAAGTACAATGAGATCCAAGAGGCAAAGACCAGCGGCAAAAAGGCTCACTACAAAAAGATGCGGGAACTCAGAAGAGGCAAGAAGGTTTGATTACTATCAGATCTGTCTTCATTCTATCGAGGATCATCTATCATTTCTATCAACAGAGATCTGGATATTAGGCTACAACTTGGTTGTCTGAGGCGATCAGCTCAACAAGTTTTACGATGAGCTCCTGAGGCTATTGTCAGCATTTTCAACTGGTTTGGGCCAGCGCAAAAATGTACTCTAACATCATCTGCAACAGTCTGAGTAGCTGCCAGCACTTCTGTATGACTCGTACTACCGGCTTCCATGGCTTTATTAGTCACGTGTGCCTCGACGTCTGGGTCACTTCCTAATGGGGGTGGGTCATGGAGAGCACTATTCGTCACAATGCTGACTCCAAAGACCCTCATTCCTCCATGTCTTGCTACAATGACTTCTGGCACGGTTGACATTCCTACCAGATCTCCTCCTAACATGGAGAGCATACGAGTTTCAGCTCGGGTTTCGTAACTAGTAAGTTAGCTAAACCTGCAAACTGAAGTATTTTTCCGGAACATGATATCAATCAAGTTGTATACAGGGCATATACGGGTCTTGTGACTTCGGAAAAACTTACCAAGGCCCAGCAGCAAAAGCATATACACCCTCACTCAACTTCTTGACTTGATTACATTTCGCCCATGCCAAGTGTGCCTTGCGGCGCAGATCAAGATCATAGGCATCTGTCAAAGCCAAGAACCTGGTACCAAAGTCGTCAAGATTAGGACCGCGGAGTGGGCTTAGACCTGCGAGGCCGGCAAGGTTGATGTGCTTTGCTCTTGTAGTTAGCTTATAGATTTCAAATTCAAAGAATTATATCCTTCAGAGACTGTCCAATTCAAAATGCGGGATTGTGATACGTACGTCGTTTATAATTACAATATCTCCTATATTGTAGAATTTGTTTAGGCTTCCAGCTGCGTTTGTGACTTTTTAACTTGTGTCAGTAAACTGAATTGCTTACGATGAAGGGGGATGGGCTTGAAAAGGAACGAGGGGGAAGAGACGTACTAATACAAGTCTCCACACCAAGAAGTTTCAACACACGGAGAGGGAAGGTCGTAGTAGAGAAGGGGTGGCCTTCGTAGTAACTGTTCCATTGTTGTTAGCGAGTTTGTTCATTAGGAAGTGGGATTTCTGTCCTTGGGGAGGGGTTCTGGGGAGATAGTTGGGGATGGATAGGGGACGGAGAGGGGAGGAGGAGGGAGGTGAAAACATACTGTGCTCGGCCGCTCAAGAGGAGGACTGGAGTTTTTGCTGAGCCTGAACCGATGGTGCCGTAGATTAGGGTTGAGGCGTGGCCGGATGCTGTGTTGGGGAGAGGGGTTGGGTTAGTAAATGGTATGGTTCTTCTTTTATGGATTTTTCTTGATTTTTTGGGTGGTTGTTTTGAGGTGCTTGGGGGAGGGGATTTTGGGTGGTCCTTTGGGTGGTCTTTGGATGGTCTTTGGATGGTCTTTCTTTCTTTGAATATATAGAAGTATTGAAGAAAGACGGAGAAGAGGAAGTAGGAGAAGAATAAATAGGTTGGGACTTACTACCACCAACAACAAAACCATCTAGTTCTGAGTACGGAATCTCTACTTTGACAGCCACCTCCTCTGTATCTCCTTCTGTCTCCTCTTTCTCTGAGGAATTAAATGCCTTGGCGAGGCTACTCAATCCTGAACCGGCGATGATGGCGATCCTCGGGACGTGAATGCCTTCCTCGAAAGAAGAGGATGGGAGGGCGGAGGCGATCTTTTGGAGGATGTATGATGCTGTTGCCTGGGCTTGTTCTGTGAGTGTGGGTGTTTGGCGGTTTGGCGGGGTTAGTGGTAAGGGGTCTGGTGGTGGTGGGGTTGGGGTGCACATGTTGGTTTTTGGTCGTTTGGTCTTGACTCTTGGGTAATGAGAATGTTGTGGGTTTGTAGGTAACAAAGTGGAAAGAGGTGGATTTTGAGATGTTTAGAAGAGGGAAAGAGAGGAGGGGTATACATGTATAAAATGGTGTTTCTGGGTTGTAATTAGGAAGGGTGGTGGATGGTAAACTTCCAATACTGTAGATAATTTAACTTCGCGGTATAAAACTCCGATTCGCTTGTTTTTGGTATGGGGTAAAGAGGGAGGCTGGGCCTATCTTACTCATCATCCATCTTATTGTTTGAGGTTGAAAGATGATGTGTGGTTTAAGACTTACTGGTGAAGATGGACACATGACATACCCTACATACCGCTCAATTGAAGCTAAGCTCGTTGTTGAAATCTCCGATTTGTTAGGTTATGTTTTGTGAAACGTGCTAGGCGCTTTACTGGTTTTATTGAGAAGCGAGAGTACCCTGTACGTACTCCCCAGAAGAAGTGTGAATAGAGCAATTTGGAAACCCTCCGCAGGTTTCTAAAGGTTTATTCACTTGCAATGTATTCTTTCAACTGGAGATTTAGCAAGACTCAGGGCGAAAGGTTTTGACAAAATACTGCTGCTCTTTGTGTGAATAATACACCTTCTCTGGAAATAACGCGAGGAGGATTATAAAGAGGGGTTCAAGTGAAGAACCTGGAAACTCGCTATAGTAATTTCCGATGTGTTGATGGATGGGAGAGAGTGTGGTTGGAGGTGGTACGATTGTTGTTTTACTTTGCTGCGTAGAAAGAACTTTATGCCGAAGTTGATATTGTGTTTTCGTGTTGGTGAATGGGACTTCTCTGTCAATATCCTTGGGAATGTGGGAGGGGTGGCATGTTGTTCATGGTTTGTTGTGCTTTGTTGTGCTTTGTTGTCTCGTGATAGGTTGAATATGAAAAATTAGCCAATAGAATTAAATACATGAGAAACAAGGGTGGTTGTTGGTAGGAGGGGCTAAATATTTTGTGGTGCTTGTTTGTTTAGGAGGGAATGGTTAGCGAGAGTGGGGTGAAAGAGTTGGCTGGTTCTAGGCTGTTGGATGAAGTTGGATATTGGATTTCAAATGAATGTTTTGTGTTGAGATATCTTGTTCTGGGTAAGAGGATATAGGATGATAATGACAAGTTAGTAAGTAGACTGAAATAGAAAGGGTTGATTGCGTTGTAACATGATCGCAGATGCAGTTGTTGTTTGTCTTTTAAAGCTTTGTGTCGCCAAATCTATTGTTATAGTTAATAATTACGACAGAGTTCTTGGTGCTTGAACCTCTATAATGAGAAAGGTTTCCGCGCAATGTTACTCCAAATCTTGTGTTTGAGGTAATACCACGGGATACAGAGCTATGGCTGAAAAGTTTCTTTTCCAATTTTCAGCTGGCTTCTTCATCAGTATAAGTATTAATATCCAAAGCAAGCTGATTGAGTACAGCCCTACACCAAACATGTAGCCTATGACACCATTTTAATTATAATTGACTAGGTGTCGTTGGTCATCTCTGGCAAATAAATTTGTATGTTAAGCGAGAATCCCCACTGTCTATCAGAGATATGACAGATACCAACAACGGATGTATATGGCGTTTTGAGCTCAAAAAGGGAGTCTGAGGTATTCAGAAAGCTGATTGAGAAAACCAAAAAGAAGAAGTGGAAGTATGGGTTTCTTAGGTGCATGTCTGAGTACTTAAGTTGTAGGTACAAGTAAAGACTTAGTATCGTTTATCCATACGCAGACCTAGTCTATTCACAGAAACTCGATAATGATAACATTGAGAAAGTCAACATGCTATACAAGCACTTGACCTCAACCAGCCAATACCTTATGTGCACTGAACAGCATTAGCATTTCTCTGAGCCATGCACCCTTCAAACACCTACAACGGAATAAGGGAGAACATCCGTCCAAGCCCATACTAAGCAGTTATCACCATCGCCATCGTCGCCAATTTTCTTGCACTGAATATTCAGAGTCAGAAATTGTTATTTCAGCAAAAAGTCTTTTTAGCTAGAAGACTCACGTGCCATCCAGCATTAATCCCCAGCGTTGGAGTGGAAATAGGGCTCATATATTCAATCCCACCACATGGAAGCTACTACGGTAGCTAAAGCTGCGATGGCGTAGAGGTACTTCATGTCCATTGTATTTGAGTGAGAACTTGGTTTTGTGGTGGTGCAGGACTGTAGCGAATACATGTCAAGTGGGTATTAGGGAAAAGTTATCGCTTTATAATAAATTCGAATCATCATTTTGTGCTTGGTTTTCGTGCACGGGATTACCCCAATGGAAGTTTCCATGTGTTGTTTTATGACATCCACTACTGTACTACATTACGATTCGCGAAAGTTTATTAAACTGATTACAGGCATTCGCTGTTCATGATTGCAAGGTACTTTCCATTACGTCGTTCCAGATGTAACAAACCAAAATACGCACATGTTGGGTATTCCTTCTAGAATGTAGTTGCCCAAGTGTGATCATGTACCCGAAGCGGAAATAGGTATCTACAGTAACTACATCAAATTGCGATATAAATACGTAGAAACGTACCTGTTGAGCTAAAGGCTTTGTTTTACGAGGGGGATGTTATACATATGGACACTTTTGCTTGACTTTAAGTGCATATTGTAAGGCCGCGTGACTCTGGAAGGGAACCTCAGTAACTAAAAACCACAGATATACTTTGAGAAGTTTTGAACCACGATCAAGTATGCAGCAAAGCACTGAACATCCATTGACTAACATGGATCAGCCTGCCGTAACTTCAGATGACCTTGTCTGTGAGCAATCTGAAAGCCGTTAAATTAAAAACCGCACTGATAATATTCCAAATATTTGCACTAGTCGGAATTGGGATTGAGAATATGAATAATATAAAAAAGTAAGATTACCCGTTGGCTTTATTAACCATCAACTACAAGTGTGTTCTATTACGAAACAGTGACTAGAGTGACATACGTGCCAGGTACTTACTTGACTTAACTTGAGTAGTAATTATCGCTATTCCAACCCACTCGATAATTACTTAGCTAACTTAATTGCCATTCAAGTCATACGGAATAAATCTGCCGGAGTCCCCATAGCACGCTTAGAATTAGCTAACTCTCTTTGCTGGTCAAGTTTTCCAATTTATTGAGTAGTAAAAGCTAGCCTATAGTTAATTCTTTTGCATTAATAGATATAGTGACTAATAGTAGTATTATAAAAGTGTCAGAAGAATTATCTCGGCTTTAAACCCTGTACTCTCGCAAATCCCGGGCTCTTCTTCAATGTACTTTTAAACAGCGGAATTGTACAGATACATTGACCTTCAACTAAAGTGTATGCCAAGTTTATAAATAAGGAAAGGATGGAATAGGTATAACAATGTAAAGGGATCCCAGATACCGAACGTTGATCATATTCTAGCAAAGCTGGGCCGCTAGTGTGCGCGCCTTGAGTCTCATATGTTAAGAATTGTTGTATCGCGAGTATTTCTTGTTGCTAAAATTGGAGCAATAGTTATTTGTGGACGGATGAGCTTTACTCATAGTGCTTTGTACAAAGTGCCTGGAGATACGAGTAATGTGGTAAAACGTCTCTAAATACGCGAAGCTCGCTTGTGTTAGGGGGTGACCAGCCAGACAGCGTTTCGTAGTTTTGAAAACTCTTATCACTACATCAACCTGGTGAGCCCCCTATGTACACTCCTGGAAACGATTTACCACAACAACCAGTGACGTATGATGTCTTTGGGTACTTTGTAATGTCTATATGACCTTTGGACATGCTCTGTACTTCAAAGTATTTGCAGTATTCTAATTAGAACAAACAGCCTTCAGAAAAGTTAACAAGGAGTAAATTCGTGAAATGGGATAAGGATAGATATCAAAAATAAAATAGTGAGGCTGATTAAAAATTTGATTGCAAAGCTGGATAGGTACTCATAATATCTTACAGTAGTACTCAAGTACTGTGGGTATCGCTACAGTAGTGCACAGACGCTTTTGCCCCCCAAGTGCAACCTGCAACCTGCGAACCCCAGGAAATATATTTTTGGGAGGATAAGGCCCACCTTCAATCAGCAACACACATCAGATGGCTTCATCAACTCCAATACGCCTGCCATGGCGTCTTCTTACTCGGGCCGTAGGAGTAAGTATTTCTCTATCATCCGAAACCACTCAATGCCTGTCAGCTAACCAATTGCAGGCGGCACACCCCCTCATACCATCTACCCACTATATCAGAACGCAGCAACCGATCAGTTTTCAACGACCGGCTATCTCGCGGAATTACAGTGAAGCGTATGGGAGATCATAGACAATTTGGAACGAGGAGACTGACCGCATAGCAGCACTCCACCACCCGAGGTTGAGAATGCGACTCCACCGTGCGTTCTAAAGTCCCTACTTACTCCACCAACTCTAATTAACAATTCCTCAGATCACAACCACCACAAACTCTCACAGAAAATACTCCAGTCTCCGAAGGTCCGCCTGGTCCTCCAAGATTACCACGCGCCGTCCAAGCAGTATACCTACGCCCCCTCCGTCGACAAGCCGAATACGGCGTTCCTTCCTGCGATCTCCAACTCCGCTCCTACAGTGTTCGCAATCTCGAATTTTTCTGTGATTTTGCTCTTCGAGCAGCATATTATCTCGGCCTGCCAGCCTCGGGTCCGGTTCCGCTGCCACGTATAACGGAGAGATGGACGGTTCCGAGAGCGAGTTTCGTGTACAAAAAGAGTCAGGAGAATTTTGAGAGGAGGACAGTGAGAAGATTGATACAGATTAAGGATGGAAATCCTGAGACGGTGGAGCTGTGGTTGGCTTTCTTGCAGAAGCATGCGTATTATGGTATTGGTATGAAGGCCAATGTTTTTGAGTTTGCGAAAGTTGGTATGTTTTCACCCACTGCCTTGGATGTGTTGGGTAGGGAAGAGACTAACCGTTATCCAGGTGTTGGAAAAAATATGGATACGGAGATGGAGAAGATGAAGGATATTGTTGGGAAAACTTGGGATCGTGTTGGAGTTGCTACCACGGTGGGAACTAAGTTGACAGCGGAAGAGATTATTGAACGAGTTAATACGCAGAATTTCAGAGCTGCTACTCATGGAAATGCTCCTCTGAGCAAGCTGCCTGGCTCCATTTCTCGTTGATTTAAGGACCCCATTGGCGATTTGAAATAGGCAGCAAAATGCGGGGCAGAAGGCTCAACATATACAATCTGAGGTCCAGAGGGCTGTCTTGATCAATGTATATTTCTGTAAAGATATGGAGCTATTGTAAACAAGTTAGATAAACAGCCAGCCCTTGAACTCTGTCTCTCTCCTCAAGGCATTATCTCCGAAAAATATCGATGCATTACAAGAACCATCTGAAGTTCAAACTTCCATCACGTGTCTTCGTGTTCCAAAAATTTCGCGTCCAGGGCATGGGGGGTGTTCTTACATCTCAAGCCCTCGTCTCCGTCACATCCCCAAGGCCAAAATGCATTCAACCCGCCGTCCCCTCCAAAAATTAAAAGGCTCATTTCCAAAATCTCTCCTCAAACCCAACCTCCCATATCTCAGAAACAATAAATCCTATTCTACTGCCCTTTCAACGCCACAAAATGCCCAGACGATCTTCTCCGGCATCCAGCCAACCGGTGTTCCACACATAGGCAACTACCTAGGCGCCCTGCAAAACTGGGTTTCCCTCCAGAATTCCGCGGCCGAATCAACAAAATTATTGTATTCTATTGTGGATTTACATGCTATCACCGTGCCTCAAGATCCCGAGACTTTGAGGATGTGTAAGAGGACTAGTTTAGCTTCGTTGATTGCGGTGGGGTTGGATCCGGAGAGGAGTATACTTTTTTATCAGAGTGCTGTAAGTTGTGTTTTTTCACTTTCATGTGATAGAGAATGATGCTAATTGCTCTGTTTTGTTTTGAAGGTTAGTGCACATTCCGAGCTAATGTGGATTTTGAGTTGTACTGCTAGTATGGGATACCTTTCTCGAATGACGCAGTGGAAGGTAAGCCCCAAAAATGATATTGAAGTGCATCCTTACTAACTCAGGCTTTAGAGCAAACTTTCTTTGGACGAGAATACCTCGCCGTTGGACGAAAAGAGTAAATCGAAATTGAAGCTTGGATTGTTTTCATATCCTGTTTTACAAGCTGCTGATATCCTTGTTCATAGGTGTGGCCTCCTTCCCTAACGTTCGATATTTTTAGCCATACTTGTCATTTCTGAATAATTGCTAATACGTTTCTAGAGCAACTCATGTTCCAGTTGGAGATGATCAGAGCCAACATTTGGAATTTGCAAGAGAATGCGTGACAAACTTCAATCACGCCTACGGTCCCAATCTCGTAGAACCAAATACCATTCTATGTAACTTCAAACATCTCTTCCCATGCAAGAAATCAAGCACTAATATTCCCTCTAGCTCCAGCAAAGAGAATAATGTCCCTGCAATCACCCTCCCAAAAAATGTCCAAATCAGCCCCCGACCCTAACTCACGTATCCTGATTACCGATACCCCTACCAAGATCAAAAAAACCATCATGAACGCCATAACAGACAGCCAGAACTCCGTAACCTACGATCCAGAGCGGCTAGGAGTTTTCAACCTGCTGAATTTATGGAGTTACTGTGATCCCGGACAGAGGAGTGCGCAACAGCTTGCGGCCACTATTGAAGGGCAGGAATTGAAAGTTTTGAAGGCCAGGGTAATGGAGAGTGTTACCGAGAAGCTTGAGGGTGTGAGATCGAGGTATGAGAAAGTGCTGGAAGAGGAAGAGGGGAGGTATTTGGATTTTGTTGCTAGGGAAGGGGCGAGGAAGGCGAGGGAGAGTGCGGAGGAGACGATGGTTCTTGTTAGGGAAGCGGTTGGGTTTTGAGGCCCTCTGGCGTGCTGTGGAGGTTTTATGAGAGACGTGGATATGTGGGATTTAGACTTGTATAAATGTGAGATGAATGATGATAGATGATCAAGCCAAGCTATCTATTGCGGCCTGCGTTCATTTGGAGGAAAGGGTGAGTGCAGGTATCTTACCAACTATCTTCATATATTGGGTTTGTAATTTGGTTGAGTATATAATTTTTGTGAGCTGAGAACCCAAATATCAATTGAGAGAAATGTAAGTAAGACCCGATCATTGCTCTGCACACCTACCTTGAAAACAACGTACTAGAAAGGCGCTTACAATTAGTCTAATTATGCCCGCATTTTGTCAGGATATTTATTTAGATGTCTCTTTTGTTTACCAAAGTGTATTGAAAACAATCAATTCACGTAGTAGCACAATCAAAGGAAGGAAGGCTAGATAATTTGGAATGGCTGTCTGAAGTGAGGCCCCTCTCAAAAGCTTGGTGGTAAAGCATATTTCGCATTGTTATATCCGACAGTTTACTTAACTCCGAACATAGCCTCACATCTAGTGTACAGCCTCGTCCTGCTTCAAAGAGAGCCCCAAAACAAATATCAGAACCTCTTTCTCACAAAGATCCCCCAAGACTCTTCAACCTCAATACCTCCCACCGGACGAACTCAATTACATAAGGCCCCCTCAAAATGGCAGAGAACTTCGTCCCAGCAGGTCAACACCGCCAACTCAGAGCCTGTATGGTCTGCTCAATAGTAATGACCCAAAACGTACACCTCCCTTCTCCTTCCCTCCCCTTCCTACCCAACTAACCTTCTCCCAGCGCTTCCTCAAAGAAGGGTGTCCAAACTGCGAAGATTTCCTCCACATCCAAGGCTCGAGCGAGACGCTCTACGACTGCACATCTCAGGTCTTCGAGGGCCTCATCACCCTCGCGGATCCGAGTAGGAGCTGGGTTGCGAAGTGGCAGCGCTTGGATGGCTATGTGAAGGGGGTTTATGCTACGAAGGTTAGTGGCACGTTGCCGGATGAGGTGGTGGCGGTTATGGAGGAGGAGGCGAGGATTAGGTATATTCCGTAAGTTGCCAACGCCTGGTTTTCGTGGAGAGGGTGGATGGGTACTAATGTTGAGTAGGAGAGATGGGACGGCTACGGAGGCTGATTAGATGCTTTGTGACGAGTGTATGATGATAGGTTGAAGAGGCATTTGGGAAAAGCCAAATGGGGTTGAAGCTGATAGATCGCATGCGACAACCCGGGAGGATTACTACATTTCATCAAAACAAAACAGGCGCAAAACGGGAGGAGTTCTAGGAGCGAATTTCTATTACTTTGAATGATTTCTAAATTCACACAAGCAAGTGGTATCTCTAAAAAGTGACGCCTATTCCCCAATCCCCTTTGCGCCTATGTAAATGCTCCCATACCACCCATAACTCCATATTGTGAACACTTGCTATACAACATTCTAAAATCTCCGTTTCTTCTGTGCTGGTCCCCCAAATCCGGAAGGTCCCCTTTTCTTCGCCATTTCTTCCTTCATTATTCGTTCAGCTTCGCTCATCTTCTTTGGCTGCTCAATAGCGATAGACTTCTTTCCACCCAGAGCATTCTTCTTTGCTGCTGCGAAGACGTTCTTTGGTTTACTCGAAAATCTCATTTTCATAGAGACTTTCGCTGGCGCCGCTGCTGCTGGCTCAGCGGCAGGCGCTTCTACCGAATCCGTCTTATTTTCTGCTGGCTCGGCTTGCTCTATTCCATCTTTCGGTGACGTCGAGGCTTCTGGCTTCGAATCCACTATTGGGACTGGTAACGACTCTGCTTTCGCAGTAGGTTTTGCGCCAAAGCTAAGCTTGATCTTCTCCCCATCCTCTCGCTTCAGTTCTCGCTCCGCTTCATCAACTTCCTCATCTGCGCCTCTCCCCTCAGCATCCATCTTCGCCCTCTTAACCTGCTCCCTAATAGCCATCTGCTCCCTCTCCTCGTCCCCTTTATCCTGCCGTTCCTTCTTCCTAATCGCATCACTCCTCCTCAACGCCTCGGGACTATTATCAATCCACGCAACATGAACACCTTTCTCGTCCTCCTCAACCCTACAAATACCCTCGCGACCCAAAAACTTCGCAAACTCCGTCAACGAAGGCCATTTCGTCGAGTTCATGTGTATATGCTCCTTATTATGGATATACTCCTGGTAGAAGTGGTTGAGATGGACCTTCTTCTCGCCGTGGGAGGTGCGCAGTAAGAGCAGGAAGTCTTTCTGGAATTGGTTGCTGTAGTCGTTTATGTATTTCTTTGGGTCTTCACCAACAAGCAGCATTTTCCGGACGTGCGATTCGGATTGGGTGTGCATTTTGAAGCCATTCTCATCGCGACATTGCTTTTCGCATATCTGGGGGATAGGTTAGGATGAGGGGCGCATACGCATAGTTGGAGGGGTTGGAAGCTTACTTGACAGTACCATCGTAGGCGCTGGAGTCCCTTGGACTTTAGTTTGTTGTTTAGGTGCTTGGTGGAGCCTACTTCTGCTTTTGGCATTTTGGCGACAGTTTGGTGGTGGTGTTATGTGTTGTGTTGTGGTTTCTTAGGATTAAAGATGACTTGGAGCCATGAAGCGCCAGGTCCGGATTTAAGCCCGCCTCGGCTGGACAGATGCACGTGATTAGCCCCTATCCCAACTTCCAACGTCACTTCATAGATTTAGGGCCAATATTCTTGAGAAGTGTACCAAAAAATTAGCTATCGCTAGAGATTATGTCAAGAACCATTTCTGCAAGCCATCTTCTATAGAAGCCACCTGACAAGAAATCTACTTCCTACCAAGTGGATAAGGAACCGTTAACCTAAAAAGTGTATCAAAAAAACAATAATACTCGGTACTCCTAGACTCGCTTCAAAATTACAGCTATATAGAGAGCTAGGACTTTTAGAATTTAGGTCGCAGATTCTATTTGAGTGCTAGCCAGCAAAGGTCTCCGTCCCATCACGATAGACAACTTCTAGTATGACAAAACATTTATCTAGGAATGGTACGAAATCAAGAAAGCAGAATCTTAGATACAGTAGTAAGATTACGCAAAGCAATCTGGCAGAATTCACTTCACCGTAGCCCTCGCCTCCACGCTTAGCACAAAAATCACCAGCCAGTCTCCCACGTCCACATTCCCAGAGCGTCAAAAAGAAAAATCCCAGAACCACCCCAAAAACCTGCAAAAAAATCCTAACGCCTTTTCAAGCGTCGCCAGGGAGCGTAAACCAGACGTACTGGGTTTTTCTATTGGGCTATCATTCCTGCGCTCTTCTGTTTGTAGCTAACAGGAACCATATTTCAGTGTGTACGGCCGTTGACTCAGTAGACTTAACCACTGAACCAGATAGACGATATTCCGTAGAATCGTACAAATGATTAATGGATGGTTGCTTACTTGGGGATTTGAAGGGTGGTGGTGGGTTTTTGTGGGGCTGGGTTGGTTGTGGTGCTCAGTGGATGGGATATACATAGTGAATAATAAACTTACCACTTCCATCCGCTATCTCAATCGTATAAAACCCTCTTGAGGCCAATATAAAAATCAGTACAGCAAGAAAATGCCTAGCTTCAACTCTCTCAAAAAGAGATAGTAACAATGTATTTTGCTTAGAAATAAGTCCTATCTACCTAAATTATCGGGATCAGACCTACATCATAGAATCATATTTTCTCTTGCGCTGGGAATACTACAAGAACAAGGGATGCCATTCATACTATCTACTTGCAGTCACTTTCTACAGAGCGAGAATTCGACCAGATCAATCGACCGACTTCAAGTCCAAAGACTGAACGGAGATAACCAAAGCTTGCGCAAAGATGAGTTTTAACAAGACAGAGTCACATACAACGTACGCGCCAGATTCGCTATCTAGACCCTGTAAAGAGAAAGTAGGAAGATTTCTTATTTCCCTTCCTTTCTCAATGATCTCCGTAACTGACCCAAAAATACGTTTCAGCGATTCGTGAGTAGCTACCTCATCTCTCTGAAGGTATTCTTCCATGTAATTTGGCTACAACTTGGTATTAGTCACTGGGTATCTATTCTAAGTTTCAAAAAAGATTCATGCCATCTTTATCTGCTGCTTTCAGCAAATGCATCATAGACCCACGCAACACTTGAAATTCGAAACCCGAAACTCCCAATGCCTATTTTTAAAGATGCGCGATAACCATCAATCCAACTGTACTTAGATCAAACAGAAAGCAGAGAATAGCGTCATACCTGGGTCAACATTAACCTCCCAATACATCACCCATTATTAAATCACCAAATCATATCTGTTATCAAGAATATACTCCTCATCACTCGCTTACTCACCGCCTTTTCGTCTATCCTCTATGCACTGGTTCAAGGCGAAGGCTTTCAGTTTCAGACCCATAGAAACCCCCAGACCCTCTCCCTGGGAATTTTGGATATCAAAAGTAGAGGGAAACCATACTTCAACGCTGATTGATGTGTCGCGCCCACACGGTCCAAGTATATTAGCTAATCCTGTTGCTGCTTGCTATTTGTGGCTGTAAAGATGTTGGGTCTTGTGATCTGGGGTTCTTGTTTTTGCTTATTAGACCAATGACTTTGTATTCAGCTTGTTGTTTACCCCTGAGTCCTCGATCGTGAAGGTGAGACTTTCTCCACTACGGGGATTGATTATAGCCTTTTGATTTTTAGTTTTGCGTCTTCCGTGGCTCTCTTGACATTTACGAGGACACGCTGAGCTTTGCGTGCGATGGGTGCTGATATATTGATGAACCCTTGAAAAGCTACGAGTATTGTCTAATTCGCTTAATATATATGATTTATTGACGAAACTGAAAGTCTGAATCCTCGTGACGTAACAGGGGCAGGTACTGGATACTGTATCTGATCTTGAATGTGTCGATAGATCTAGGTAAAGAACAAGATCTTTTCACATTAACAGACTCATGGGTGATCTCATTGATTATGCCCTGTAACTCGTAATCTAAGGTAGTCCCTCATTCGGTCCCACAGCTTACCGAGTTCTAAGTCCTTATTCCGGTTGGCACTCGAAAAGACCCAAAGTGAAACCTACACACTTGCATTAATATCAATAACAGAATCAATCTCCAACTTCATCATCATATCTCCAACATCACAAAAAACATCAAAGCGGAATGACTTGAATACCAACTATTACATTTCATCAAACAAAACGCTGATAGTACACCAACCCAAGACGACAGGACAATTTTATCATCTCCTCTGGCCGCCGCCATCGTCTTCAGCATCATTTTCGCCCTCGAACCCCAATGTCAATACAAAGAAATACACAACCTCACCCCAACCCCACCACTCAATACTCAACAACCCACCACCACCACCACCATCGAATCTGTACATAACGCCCCAACCTCAGCACTATCCAATACTCATACAACCCACCACCCCCCCCACTCCTAGTCTGTACATAACGCCCCAACTCCACACCCCACTCCATCAGGCCGAAGGCTCGGTCCCGGCAGTGGCACGTCTGGTGGTTTTGGACCAGATTGCCGGGAACCATGACTTTGGCCCAAGGGTGGGTCAATCCCTGTCGAAACAGAAATTTGGTTTGCCTGCTTTTGCTCTCGTGCAAGAACTATACTTGGACAAAAGAAAAACAATACTCATACAATACCCATACAACAACACCAACAACCACCTACCATCCCCCCCAAACTCTCCAAAAAGACGCAAGACACGGGACCAGCCCGGTCAAATCTACTTTTGGAGATGTTTGGTAAGCCAATCCCGAATCCAAACGGCAATCTCACGTACAGCAACCTCTCGCGTAGCAACTACCGCCTTCACTCCTGTGGCATCACGGTGCTCAATTATTCCAGGGTATGGAACAAGTAAGCTTGCCATGCCGCAGAGTGAAGTCAGTAATCACCGCTGGTGAGATGCGAAATGTCTACTTGATAGTAGAACACAACTACACTGTAAAATACTCATACAACAACACAACCACATCCCTCCACTGTAAAATACTCATACAACAACACAACCACATCCACCGCCACATACTCGTACAAGACACCTTCAAGTACTCAAACAAAACACCACACGGTAGTCATACAACAACATACCTCCACCACCACTACATACTCGTACAGAACACTACAACTCCCCTCCGCCACCACCGCCCACCCCCTAAATATACAACACGCCCCAACTCCCACCTCATTGTTTCGCTTTGTTGTTGTTGTGGGTAGGTACATCAGGCCCAGTCCGTGGTCCGTAATATCGATGCCTAAACTGGTGTTGCCGTCTTCCACTCAATAGAGGATGGGTGTGGTTTATATGCTTCTGCAAACGTCATGTGAACTCATACAACAACACACCTCCACCACCAACTACTCATACAAAACACCACACACCACCCCACCTCGCAACGGTCCCAAGAAGGTTTAGTCTAAGGTGCTGGCTATGAAATCAGTTAGTCCCAGGCATCACTTACACAGCACAAAGTACGAGAATAGAAATGTTTGAAGGCGAGATACATACCCGATCCACTGACAATTAAATCATTTTGAGAGACACTAGGTGCCAATATCCAAGCTCGTCACTTCCTCAACGGACAATTGAGCATCGTTAGTGACATTGAGAATATCTGGGGATGCAAGATCCTTCAATCTTGGAGTCGATTGGCTCCTCCTGTCGCAGTAGAGGGATTGAATGGATTGGGCGTTGCCATAACCCCAGCTGGGTTGTATAAGAAATTGGCCCATGGGTTGGGATGCCCTATCTATAAGGAGAAGTCAGCAAAATCGGTAAAAGGCAATGGATCAAGATGTGCAAGAGAGGAACGGATGGATGGATGGATGGGTGAAGGGATGTATGGTCCTTACTAGTTGAAGGTTGTACCCATCGTGGTTGTCAGAAGACGAGGGCACAATGTGGAATGGATAAGCTGGGATACAGAGAGAAGCTAGTCGGCCTGGAAGTGTCAGGAATAGGACTAGCGCCTTCCATGGAATATGCTAGTGCCAGACAGTAGAGCTGAGAGCTCGTGTCGTAACAGTGAGATGGTTGGCTGTTGACTTTGTTTTGTAAAATCTATTGAGGGAGTTAGCTATTTGATGGTATGGAGATATGGAGATAAACTTTTTGTTAAGGTGGAATGGAATTACAAAGAGATGTCTCGCTTGGGAAAGGAGAAAGATTGGCTCTGTATACTCCATTCTCAAGGTGTAGTCCATCAAGCGACAGGTACTGATGTTTGGACACACTTGTGTCGTGGCGATCTATCGCTCAGGTAGGTTAAGAAGGCAAGAGAGCAGAGGGCAAAACAAGACGCAAAGATCCTGATCTATCGCCAAGAATGAAAGCAACAAACAAACACCAAACTGGTTCAAAAGAAACATCAACAAACATACCTCTCGCGCAGCATTGTGCATTCCAAACCATCTCATCGCAAACGTTGTTGTTGCGAAGACAAGAACATAAAAAGATGAGAAGAAAAGAGAGTAAGAGAAATATCCAATATTAGTACGTCTACAAAACGACGCTAGACGTCCTCATATCTTGTTCTATACCTAAAAAGGAGCGATAACCGAAATTGCATGATGTCGTGATCGGTTCTTCTTCCCAGACGCCAGGACGCCAGGACGCCAGGACGGAAGACAGAAGATGGCAAGATAGAGGTAGTGGGGGTAGCGAATAAGGAGAGAGGAGAACGTTGGAGAGGGTGTTTGGTAAAGCGGCGGTCGGTCGGTTTGGTTGCTAGTGGCTGCAACTGCATGAGGGTAATAGGGAGTACAAGAGGGGAACAGCACTAGGCAATGGTGGGAAATAGTAGTGGTTCTACTGCTGGTATATACTCCTGCCATCAGCGTACAATCCCCACAAATCAGATGAATACACATGGAAAAACAGAGAAAAGAAAAAATAAGCAGTACTCAACTCAGAAATGAATAATCCACAATCTGTCCCATTGCTACATCTCTTGGAAAATTCACCAACTCGCTTAAAAATAATGTTCAACTTCAGCTGACAGCTACTCCTTTGCTCTGTTTTGTATTCACTACGAGTACATGTATTCCATCCCTGTACTACAGCAGTATAATCCCTCCAAATACTTTTGTCACTTTGAAAATGTAGCCTGAATTGGAAGCTCAAAACCTTCGCAGCTACTTGATATATTCAAATACCTCACTTGAAGTAGTCTGAAGGTGAGTGACAGATCTCTACAGCCAACAGCACAATCAAGAAACCAGCACATCAAAGTCCAGAAACAAAGATGTACAGAGCCTCAAAACACCCCTAGACACTAGATCACAAAGCTTTGAATTTGATCTCCTACCGCTCCCCTCTCCTCCCCTTCCACCTTTCAACATCTCTCAACACTTTTGTTTCGTCACTTGGTAAAGCTGTCTGAATTTGAAAGTGATGTTTGAAAGCTAGTTGGTACCTGAAGACATGCTTGACACTTCATCAAGTACATGTAGCAGTCACGGAGTTCAACATCCCAGAAGACCAAAATCCAGAAACTCAAAAACCGAGAAGAGAAACCCCACAGCTTACAATAGCAACTCAACATATGAAATCCCAACCACATCTTCAAAAAACCATCAAGCTAAACTCCTCCCCCATTTTCTCCCCCCTTGCCCCATATCCCCTCAGGACCTCACCACTAGACAGCCGCAAACACTCTTATTTATCACTTGCCACTTGCGACTTGCGACTCATCACTTAAAAGGTATCATAATAGTGAGGGAAACATCTCTTAAAATCTCAACATCCCAATATATCAACATCTCAAAAACCCAGTAACTCAAAAAACCCAGCAGCTCAAAACCCTAACAAGTCTTCAAACACAGTAACACTCAAACCCATCAAAACAACACAAAGAAGAAGTTCATGGCTCACTAGCTTAACATGCACAGTACTCAAGCACTTGACAGAGACAAACAGTATAAAGATAAGGGAATAGATCAACAGATCAGCAGATCAAAAAAACCCAACATCCTCCCCACTCCTCCAAACACTCCAAATACTTGAAAGACCCATTCTAAAGATGAGTTTAAACTGAAATGTTTGAAAGCTAAATCTGTAAGATTACCCAAATACTTCAAGGAAAAACACAAACACAAATCCAAAAATTCACCATCCCAACATTTTACTGTGCCCTGTCAGAAGCCCTGAAGCCCAAAGGAAAGATTGAAAACAGCCTAAAGGCGAGGACAACAGCTTCATCAAATCAATCTATGTATTCTTTTATCCACATCTCTATCCTACCCTCCTACTATCTGTTTTGCCTTTTACCCTATCCTATCCTATCCTACCCCCCCCCCCATTCCATCCATCCCATTTCATACCCATGATTATATCCCAATCTCTCACATACCCACGTACCCACCACCAATGCATTTTCCCCTTCAATATCGTATCCCTGGATCATTCAAATTCAATCCCTATACAAAGCCACCCTACCAGCAACCATACCTAATGCGGCAAACACACAAAAAAGAAAATAGAAAATGCGACACCAAAACGCCCCTATGCCTGTAAAGCCCTTTCCTGTATACAAATGCCAACAATTTTAAATATCTCGACCGGCGAACTCTAGATAAATGCAATCTTGCTCGCTCTCTCTCATGCTATTTGCAGATATCCATTTTTCCTCCGGTGGTAGATTTTGGATCCACCTTTTCACCTCCTCACCTTCTTAATGACTTGTACGCCTTCTATTCCAGAAATGTAAAGAGATTTGTGTGTAGTATGCTCATAGCTCTTGTCGCTTCGTAGGCGTCAATCACGCAGGATATGTTGATTTCACTCGCGCCTTTGAGAATCTGTTAGCGAACTCCGATGATACGAGAATGGAAGTCCTGTAAAGAGGTACAAGAAATAACTTACCTTGGGATATCATCTCAATATTCACATGATTTTCTCCCAGCGTAGAAAACATCCTTCCCGCAATACCAATGGCGTTCTTCATCTCTGCTCCAACCAAGCTCAGAATAGCCATATCATTTATGATGCTAACCTCTCCACATAACTCCAATTCCTCTCCAGCTTGTTTCAATTCGTCGGGAGAAAGGTTCGCCGAATGTATAGCCATGGAGACGTGAACTTCGGAGGTGGAGATCAAATCTACTGATAACTGCCTTTTATCGAGGATGGAAAAAACTTTCGCAAAGAAACCATGTGAGATGGATCTTTTATTTGAATGGACGTTTATGACGGAAATCTTGTCTTTTATGGTAACTGCTGTTGGTCTTCTTGTCGATTTTCGGGGACTTAATATGCTTGGAGCTCGTGAGTGAGAAGGTGCCAATTTTGGCGTTGGGAGTATAATTGTGCCATCACCCTGAGGATTTTTTACATTCTTGATACGAATTCGAATTGGCGGAGATGCATGAATGACCTGATCCATAGTAAGATGGTGGATGACCTCAGAACCATAAAATGTCAATTCAGCGGCTTCGGAGGGGGTAATTGTTGATAATAATCGTGCCGTGGGAACCTTTGAAGGGTCTGCTGTAAATATACCGTCGACCTCTTTCCAAACCTGTAACTCATCTGCCTTGATCCCAACAGCAACTAATGCTGCGCAAAGGTCGGTGTAGCCCCTTCCAATCTCGCCATCCATCAATCCACCTGGAACAGTTCCGAAATAACCAGTCAAGATGGGAACACGACTCTCGCATGCCAACACCTTTTCCCGGAGAGCTGTAGCCATTTGTTTATAGAAATCCGGATCAAGCCCATGGACACTCTTGAAGTGAACGATATCGGAAAGATCCACATATTCAGAATCCACGCCCTAGATATATCAGTTTCCGCGGTCTTACGTTGGTACGTTCCGACTCACCCTATCCTGTAGTAAAGTTGCGATAAACCGACAACTGAGTTTCTCTCCGAAACTTATAATGCGATCTTTGGCCCTCGAATCTATTTCAAGATGCCATCTCTCCGCTGCTATTCTGTAGTCTATAATTTCTTGGCATTCGTCTTTCACTTCCTTTACAAGCCTCACCCGGATGCCCTCATCTTGAATGTGTGATTGTGCTGCTGCGACATGGTCCTCAGATATGACGTGTACCAGCCGCTCGTATTCCGCGACCAGACTCTCGTAATGTACAGTCTGGGTATCTTTGATCGCGTTTACCGAAGCGAGGACGCCATATATTTCAAGCAGTCTGCAAAGAGAATTGTGAGCTCCATGTCCTGCATGTCCTGGCAGCGACTTGCGACTCGCGACTGACTCACCGACTGGTTGTTCCCTCGACCTTCTTGCCCGTACTCCTCGCAGAACAAACCACAGCAATTCGGTAGTCGTTTAGGCTCGCACTGCAGGGAGAATCAGTATTTGGGGCAGAAAGAATTGTTTTTGCTGAGGGGCAGCATACCGTATAATGTCCTCGGCGATATTGACCGCGAACTTCCCCACGCTGGTCCCGCCAAACTTCTGCACCACCCAGCCTAGACTGCTGTTGTTTTTTCGTGGTCTTGGAGGGGTTATCGAGGAAGCATCGTGATGCCCGTTGGTCACTACGGATGTAGTCATTATCCAAGATGCGTGGAAGAATCAATGGGTTGAAGCATGTAAGTGTTGTTCGCCCCGGAGTCATAATTTTTCCACCGATGGAGGGGGACGCTTGGGTGGTTATCACAAGCGAAGCCGAGACCCCAGCGAGACCCCAGCGAAATCGGAATCGGCGGTGCCAGAGTAGCACCGGGCGAGGTGTTGACTACCTACAGTACACAACCAGATGACAAGCGTGAAATTCCAATGATTCCCACCCATCAAGATATCAGGCACTTCTATGCAGCAAAGACTGCACTATAAGTAGAAGATTCGTAGGGAAAAAGTTTTCATTTTTACTTGCGGGTGCTTGCCTAATCCGTAAGTAGCTACCTACAGACCAGACAAAGACGGTCGTTCCTGCCTGTTCCAGCCTCGTAGCACGCAATCCAATGCAGGTCCTCATAGACTCACACACTACTACCACCAGTCAGAAGGCACCTGTCATACAAATACGGTAATAGTAATTAGCAATAGGCAATGTACCTATAGACCCTAGTGGTACAGCCTAGGTAGAGCGTCGCAATTCAATCCCCGATGCCCCTGATCCCGATTGCAGACCCCGGTGGTACTCGAGTACAGCCTTTTCAAATGAATAAATACAAGAATCGCACAAGCGAGCAGTAGGAACCAACTTCTCCTTTGGAGGCAGTCTGCCCCATCCATCCATCCAACCACCCAATCCCGTCCAACCAAGAAGAAAGAAGAAAGTCCCAGTACCAGTACTACAAAAAAAGTTGATTCGTTGGGCGCGCATAGCCAACGGCCAACGGCCAACTGCCAACAGCCAACAGCCCACGCCAAATGTCGCGACCCAATCCAATGTACACCAGAAATATAAATCCCATTTACAGCCCATCATTTCTTCGTGTGAGTCGTAGTCTTCGTCCCTCCCACCGATTCCTTTCCCGGCGAATGAGAAATCAGAAATCAAGAAAAGAAATATTGCGCCCAAGACAAGTAAACTCCAAACACCATCGACGAGCTCTATTCCAAACAGAGTACCATTAACCAACAGATCCACGTTGTAATGAATGTGAGTGGGAGTGAGAGTGAGAGTGAGAGAGTGAGTGCGAGTGAGCGTGGCCATGAGTGTGCGAGCCCGTAAGTATATGTGCAGCTGGCTCCGTCTGGGAAAACTCATATTTTCCAGCAGAAAACTCTTCTTCCGGCGTCCGCATGCCAATACCACTGTCATCGTGGCCAGCTGCAGCATTGATCGCCGCCTGGCTGGTCACATCCATCGGCTGTGGAGCAGAAACATGCCCATTCGTAGTGCTATTGCCACCTTGCCGTAGGAACTCATCGCTTCCGCTACTGTATCTGCTGCGATGCTGGCTGCCATCTCGACTTCTGATCTCTTGCTTGACTGGTCCTCTCTGCGCAGATGCCGAGGTCTTGTACTCCATAAATCCTCCCTGCTCTGCCATGAAGGCTATCATTTCGTCAATCCAACACTTAGTGACCCACCAGGCACCAAAACTTTTACCTTGCGCAATCGTAAGATCTCTCATCACAGCCGTGCCAACACTTTGGACACACCAGACAATTTCTGCGTGAGTTGCGTACGGAAACTTTCCAGGCAGAGAAGTAAGGAAGCTAACCCAACGATCCAGCACATTTTCCGTCGAGGAATCAGTGTGGATCGCCGCTTGCTGTTGGCGGCCTGATCGTAGTGCCATCCCTCCATAGGCTGTCATACTTTCTACATCCCAAGAAACGCCAACGGGGTCAAGCAAATCCCGCAACTCGGCCAGCAACAGATTTACGACGTCGTCCATGCCTCGGGTTGGGACACACTCCGCAACTTTTCGAGTACGGACCATGGTGATCCAATCCTCGTACATCTGGTCTCGATTGGCGGGATTTGAAAGCATATTTGCTGCTGCGTGGGCGGTTAAATTGACTCGCAACTCTCGATCCAGAAGGCCAGCGAAAAGAGTAGCTGGCGCGACCTTTGAATTAATCACGTGGGCTGGGTGGCCATGGAAGGAGCTTTGAATATGAGGAACTAATCGCTCCGAGATATTTCGCAGAGTATCCAAGACTTGTTTGGGCGCTACTTGAAGCGTCAAGGGAGCAACAACCCGCATCATCTTTTGATACATGACAAAGTCACATTCTTCAATCCATGGAGCAATGCTTGGATTGGCGAACAACTTCTGAACTGGCATGGTCAAAGTGCCGTGGAAGGAGGTGTAGAGATGAAAGAACACCTTCTCACGACAGAATCGAATACACTCCACGAGTGAGGTGCACTGCGATCTGTATAATGCATACAAAGCTTGCGCGGCATCCGAATCCGTTCCAGCAGGAACATAGGGATCGATCTTGGGAAGGGTGAGAGGTCCTTGTTCCTGGGAAGGCTGACTTAATGGTGCGAATTGGAGACGTTGAAGCATCTTGCTACTGGTCGACTCCAGTGAGGATATATCGGAGAGGTCTGGGTGGTTATATAAACTATGAGGGCGAATAAAACCATGAGAACGTGAAGCTCTAGTCTCAGAATTTTGCGGAACATCAGGAAAGGGAAACGCGGCTCTATCGACAGAGAATTGTGCCTGAGAAGGCATGCTTTGACTATGTACTATCAGTATAGATCATCTGATCAAATATTATATGCATACCTAAAGCTCTGGGCGAATGATGTTTGGTCATTGAAACTCTGAGATGCCGGGTTGGTTGGTGCTTCTGGTGCTTGTTGCTCGTCTTCCTTAAGACTAAAGTTTACATAGTGATACTTGGATTCTCCACGAACTCCTAGTCGTCGGGTCTTGAGTCCAGGGAAAAGAACTCGAACCAGTTTCCCGAAGGATGCAGGGTTAAGTACGGTAACTCTTTCGACGGCGCATCTGTTTACGTAGTTTGCATATACTCGACCTCTAGGGACAGAGCCTTTGCCTTTGTCGCAAACTTGACTTATCCTAAAGGACAAGGAGATTAGTCCTGGAAATACGAAAAGCATTGTTTCAGAAGCAGAAACAGATACTTACCAAAGCATAGCAAACACCTGCCTCTGCCGTTCAGACTGAGGACCTCTTTCGTTGCCGTGCAACTCGACAGCAACCTCCGGCAGCGTCCGATGCTTATTCGAGTGAAAGAGTTGTCTCATTTCCAATTCATTGGCAGCGCTTGATTTCGAAACCTTCTTTGCAGGGCCTCCGGCGAGGGAATTGGCTTCATCCTGTTCTTCACTTCGGCCCTCGAGTAATTGGCTATCCCCTTCGTTAAATCCCATGCCGTAGCTCTCCGCGGGTAATGACTGCCGTTGCATCTCTGGCTTGTAATGATTCTCGTGGGAGTATTGAAGACTGTGGTTACTACCCACACCTAATGTAGAATCCAGATCGTATCCGCGAGGGTTTTGGAGTTGGGTCGCAGAGTTCATGACCAACTCCTCGGCTGTCAATTGATGTGTGATATCCCCAAATCTTTGTTGCGCAAGTGCACTCGTCTCATACCATTGCTTTTGGTAGTCGACCTGTTGTTGGTTATGCTGCTGCTCGAGGATAGGCTGAGTAACTGCGCTATGCATACTCGTCGTCGATGCTCGGGAAAGGGGTCGTTTTCTACTTTTCGAGGATGCGGCGGTGTTGGAACGAGACCTGGACTTTTGCTGTTTTGAATCCATGAGTGGTTGTTCTAACAGTTTTAGTGTGGTTAGCGGGCACGTTCAAAACACCGAAGGACACACGAAAATGACCGGTGAGAGAAAATTCTTCACGCTTGAACGTACCCATCGCGACCGATAAGCGATCGGATTCCCTAGTTTATGACGATAGTGATTTATGATTGTCGTAAAAGGTAAGGCGGGCGTAGTGTTGTTGTTTATCGACTGGCTTCGGGGGGCGGGCTCGCGGAGGCGTGCGCAGAAAGATTCATGAAACGCGATGCGCAAACAATCGTATCACTCGATACAATGTTCGCAGATGCGGCGCGCTCTCGTGGCGGCAATGTGGATCGTTGGTCGTCGAGTGTTGAGGGTTTTCGAGGTGTAATGTTGTTTACATTTCGCAGCGATTGTTGTTGAAAGGTCAACGAACGGTTACCTAAGCTGGAGGCCTCGCTTATCGGCTGGACTTGGTAAAGCCAAAAAAAATAGACCAATTGGCGTTCACCCTAAAACTTTTGGAACAAAAACGGGAACCTTGACTATTCTAGTTTGGGTCTACGGAAAATGGTGACATTGTAGGATTTTTGTACAATGATTAATTCGATTGAGATCATGAGTTTCGGGTTTTGCAATCAAGTGGAGTGGTATGAGCTTCAAGACGGCTGCCGGCATATGTTTGTACTCGGGAAAGCAGCGGTTGCGGATAATGTAAACAATTAGTCTAATTCGAAGCAACGACCAACAGTACTATTGTAGTAAGACTATGTGTCTACTCCACGACTCACAATAGGTCCAATAGTGTAAAATCCACAATTTATTCTATGACAATCGAATATCCGACCGGGTACCTGCATTAATTGTATTCACGATCCACTGATTCTGGCGGTGACTCAGGAAAAGTGGTAGCTCCCGTAGCAGTACTGTATTGTAGAGCCTCACCTTTTTTGCTATACCTTTCGGATCGAATGAAGTAGTTTGATCCTAGATTTAGCCTTAGCTGCTTAATTTGTTTACTTGTTATGACTACTTTGACTTTTGAAAAGATGAACACTACTCGTAAATATTACCAGTTTCCTTGTCCACCGCCAAAACAATGACTGCCTGCAATTTTCTGTATATAATTTGTAATGAAACAAGTCTAGTCATAGCTAGGGTATGGGTTCACAAGACAATCGAGACTCTAAGAAAACAGAAACAGTAGCCGTTACCAGTCACACAAAGGATATGTCATTACCTTATCAAAAAATTCAGAAAATTCACTGGGGCTGCTTTAAACCCCGCTCCACAGCTTTCCTGAAGTGAATCGTCATGTGTGTGCAGGTGGCTTTTTGTGGGACGCTCAAGCCACCCTCCCACACAGGCTCTCCCGGAAAGAGGACAGCTCTTCTTTGTCGTCATCAATCCTCAACTTCCAACCAACTACAATCAAACCAAAAACTCGACGCATCCCAGAAGGTCTCTATTACCGCGCAATCGCATCGCAACCTTTATTATCGCAGCTTCGTACACTTTGCATATCATGTCTCTCCAAGATAGAGCCCAGGGCTACGTTGCCCAACTTGATAAGGAAGTAGGTTGACCAGCTGGGCTGCGATAAATCCCAGATTCTAGTAGCACATGCTAACGATGCTTCGTCAGCTCTCCAAGTACCCTCTTATCAACAACCTCGAGAAGCAGACCTCTGTGCCCAAGGCATATGCTGTCCTCGGTGTCGTAGCGACCTATTTCTTCTTTGTCCTCTTCAACATTGGGGGTCAACTGCTTACCAACTTTGCTGGATTTGTGATTCCTGGATATTACTCTTTGGAAGCGTTGTTCAGCGTTGGTCGAACTGACGATACTCAGTGGCTCACCGTATGTCAACGGATCCAATCGCCTCTTATCAGTGTCCGTCTAGCTAACTCCGAACAGTACTGGGTTGTGTTTGCCTTCTTCACCGTTTTCGAGAGTCTTGTATCTGCTGTTTACTGGTTCCCATTCTACTACACCTTCAAGTTCATTCTTATTCTGTGGCTTGCACTTCCTATCACTGGGTAAGTTTGCCTGTTTTTGTCTACACAGAACATTTCTAATCTTGTACAGTGGTGCCCAAGTTGTTTTCCGCTCCTTCATCCAACCAGTCTTCTCCAGATACTTCTCCGGACCTGGTGCTGCCTCTGCCAACCTTCAATCCAAGGTCTCTGAGAAGAGCTTGTAAATAGCTCACGGACCATCAAACGCTTACGCAATGTCTCGGACAACATACTAGCATACAACAAGTAACTCGGCTGGATCAGAGGCACGAAGATCCGTTTCCTTTCAAATGTGATATGTGTTCGCGGCGCAAAGATGGGGTGAAGGGGAAGCTCTTGATGACGGAATGACGGGAATGGCGATGATGGTTTGGAATGCATGAAATCAGGATGCTTTGGAGACGAATTTCATTTGGTGGAGGAAATGACTCGGATCGAGTTATTTGTATAGATAATTCTCGTAGGGAATGATGAGTGTTGTGGACTACAGATGCTCCTCGGAATTGTAACTTGCATGTGAGACACGAGTGCTTTTTGATATGGTGACAATACCTGTAAGCTGCAAGTCTTAGATCGTCCTCGAATCCCCGAACCTCGAACCTCGAACCCCGTACTCGTAGGTAACCTCAATAAAGCAGCATCAAAAAAACATCGTGAGGATATTTGGGTTCCGGTCAAATAAGTCTCGATGGAAGTGGAGTGCCTTTTGTGGGTTGAACCTTCCCCCGCGGGTTAAAGGGTGTGAACCTAAAACTTGCATATAACCACCCTTGGTGATAGCAGTAGCGAGCGGGTTTGGGAAAGTCAGAAACACCAAACTAAATCCAACGACCTCGAAAACGGAACTTCCTCCAAACCAAAGCCCCCGATCACCTTGATGTCGTCTCCATGTCCTTCGCATCCATAATATCCTGTACTGGGCGGAATCTCTACTACGATCGAGGGGAGCTTTAGCTCCCATTGCCCTGTGCGCTCTCATCAGCGTGATGCCCCTCCCTAAACTCAGTCCGTTGCAATCACGGCTCGCAGCGTCTCTTGCGGCATCACTCACTCTCTTGCTACTATACTTTGCCTTCTCCTCCTCCCACTTCGCATATGCCGCCGAGGTTGGCTCGATTGACCCGGAAGACCACAATCACGAACGGTTACTAGAACGACCATTGCTAGATTTTGACTTGAAGGAATTGGATGTGGAAGAATCAGGGTATCAGCCAGACTTTATCGGTGTTGATAGAGGGATCATTGGAAGAGCCTCGACTACGGACGAATCAATCACTTTGATCAACAACCAGCGCCAGAGGAACAACATTCCATTGGGGACAACTGTCACATATGTATTCTCCAATGCCTCGGTATGGGGAAACTTATCCGCTCCAGCATCGCCGGTGCTCGTAGGTCGGAATCTAGCGGAAGATGAAGCCGAGATGCAACATGGAAACGAGAACCCAGATGAGGACCAGAAAGCTGTTGCGCCCCAAGAATTGAAGTCTCGAGACATCCTCTATCGAACCGTCTACATTACTGTTACAACCTGTACACAACCCGCGCCAGTCGATCCCCAGGCGGTTTCGCTCCCGCCTCCCCAGCTCCAAGTGTTTGTGTCTCCGTCTTCGGCAAATCGGAAACCTGGGCCTGGGAATACTCCCCAGATGATGATTGATTTAGTTGGTGGTTATGGTTTTATGGAAGTGAACGCTAGTGCAGATGTGTTTATAGGTGTCTATGGAAAAAATGACACCGCATATAAGGATGTGTGGAACGCAGAAATTGCCGTCTCAATTGATGCTCCCTTCCACACAATCAATAACGATACGAATTTAATTCTGGTTGATACAGACAGCACTTCTGCATATCTTGTTGCCAACAATCCGGTTGAGTTTGACGGAGATGTTTCCGACTCAGAAAGCTTGGCCAAGGTAGCCGTGCCTTATGTTATATTTGCAAGCAAAAGCAATGCTTCTTCGATAATGGGCATGGAGAATTCTTACTGTGGACTTACTAACAAGGCAGATATTGTTCCCTTTGGAGCACGCCCAGGGACTGCGGCCGATAGCGTCAAGTCTTGGTTGAGGAAACGAAAAGACGAACCCGTGCCTGAGCAGAGAATTTCTCTTACCACGTTAACCAAAGGGACGCAATATGATGCAATTCTAGCTGTTGCCGCATCCCCAAACGCTACAGTGGGCGGCGGGGGTAAAGTATTTCGGAGAGCGGAACTGCAAACATTGAATGGTATGTTCTATTACTTTCCGTCACCAACACACGCTAACAGTAAACCTCAGATAGCAATTGCGCTGTGGTGACCAACTTGACGTTGTGTGACGCTGTCAACTATGCTGTCCCAAGTAATCCAAAATTCAACATTACACAGCTTGGGGCGTTTTATGAGAATTATACGACAACTTATTTCAAATTCTTCCAAAGAGCTCTTGCCCAGGTCCCTTGCAACACGACTTCTTCGGCGCAATACTCATTGGTAGCCAACTGTACCAGTTGTACCCAAGCATACAAAGAGTGGTTTTGTGCCGTCAGTATTCCAAGATGTACCGACTTTGGCGCAACAGGCCTACATCTTCAACCACGCAATATTTTGCAGCCTTTTCCTAACGGCACATCACTTCAAAGCCTTGACCAAGCAGTCTTCAATTCCGGAATCCAGTCATTTGGTATGAACAGTTCCCGAAATCTCGATATCGATCGTGTTCTTGAGCCTGGGCCTTACAAGGAAATTCTTCCTTGCGACGACTTGTGCTACAATGTTGTTCGGAACTGTCCTTCCAAATTATCTTTCAACTGCCCACGGCCCGGATACAAAGGATTCTCGACGAGCTACCGGGAAAGATTTCTAAGCAACGCAAAAGGGGTGGATCAAGCTACCACTTCTCCCGTCACTTGTAATTACCCAGGGACGATTCCTAGAAGTAACGGGCATCGCTGGACCTTATCATATCGAACGTTAACTGTTTCTTTCTTAGTGGGGATTGGAATGATGTGTATATGAAGGATCGAGAGTTTGAAAAAGCGAAAGAGGGAGGCATTCAGATGCATTGTGCGGCGTTAATTCCCTCCTTAGGGAGACATTTGTGTTTCTGACTTTGACGGTTGACTGGAAACGACTCCTGGGATAGAAAAGATGGTCGGGTACCGAGACGGACCGGACCGGGGTTTCTTTGTAATTTTGTATTACTGCTCTGCCACATATGGGCTTGGAATCTTTTCTGGTGTACAGTAGGTGGGGGGCTCGGTGCGACTCTTTTCTTTAATGGGGGGTTACAGAAATATAAGAAGAAAAACAATTGAAAAAACCAGGTTGCACTTCCACTTGTGACTTGTTGAACGCTGTTAACGCCTTTGGTGTTACTGTACCTGGATTTGTTACGGCAGTGTGGTCTTGAGATGGGTGGGTTTCTTGCCTTCTGATATCTTCATTTGAAGTTCGGATAATGTGATACACTAGAACTTCCGAATCCTAACAACGAAATCGCTTTGTGACGCTATGAGGGAACCTGGGAATTTATAGATCTTCTCTGAAACTGGCTTTTGAACATCTATTTTTCTTTATTAATTAAGCGCCGCTGTTTTCTGTTCATTGAATCATTGATTTATGGGTTTGTCTTTCCTGGATATTATAGTGCTGTTAGTTGTGTATGAATGAATCTTTGATGTGTTTTTTTGATAGATGGAAAGCTGGCTATCTAGAATGGTGTGAGTGCCTCTTTTGAGGGGTTGGTTGGTTGGTTGGTTGTTGATGGTTTTTTTATGTGTGGAGTCTAGAGCGTGGGATGGGGGTTGCGTGTGAAGTGGAGGAGTTGGTGGAGTTGGTGTTTGAAGTGTTTTGAGAAGGGTATACTGAATTGTTTGGATGCTTGGGTGTACGTTGTTGGTTTCGTGGTGGTTTGGTGGTGTAGAGAGGAGAGGGGTGAGGGAGTCAGTGGGGATTTAATTGTGCAAAATTAAGTAGGGTGGGATAGTGGTTTCGTTACTTTTAGTATGTGTTGTTTAGGGATCTTGTTTGTGTATTTATGTATTTGTGTATTTGGGTGCTGGGTCTTGGTTCTTGAATAGTGGGAGCTAAGTGGAATTCTTGATACCTCGGATGGGATATATCAAAAGTTCTTGTTGAATTTTAGGTTTCGAGGATTGGTTTGGGGAAGGGAAGGGAAGGGAGGGGAGGAGAGGGGAGTAAGTATGTTTTGTTTGTTGGGTTTTGGGGAGCTGTGGGTTGGGTTGAGGGTTTGTATGGATGTTAGGTTGAGCGTGTAAGAGTTGTCTGATACTTTTTTTGAGATACGTGGACTGATATCCTCTGTAATATTCCTCTTTATCATTGAGGATACTTGCTATTCCCTTTATTGCCTACTAGTACTAGTACTAGCGTCGTCACATAGTATTTAGTTTGATACACAATTGTTCTTACCTACCTTACCTTACCTTACTTAATTAGGTGAAGAGTTCTCTTCTCCCTTTTTTTTTTTGTCGAATGATGTTTCGAGGTACTTGTTAAGTCTTTATGGAAGTATATGGGTATTAAGTGATTGAAAATGCTAGTGTATATACCAAAGACCACATATCACAAGATATAAGGAGATATGCTAATGCTAAGCCAAGTAAAGTAAAGTATAGTAGCTTTTCTATCTCCCATCCATATATGAGAAGATCACCGTCATCTTCGGCACCCTCAGATAAAATGTGGAGCTGTATAATAATTAATAATCATACTTTCCAGCTATCATGACATCAATCATTATACCTTCATATCCCATCTCTTTCTAAAGACAAAAGATAGTCATATTCCATCTCCTCCTAACAGTACGTACTCCATCTTCCCGCCCTCGATCATTCGCTATTACTCCGTAATCACAATCTAGCATACTAACCACACTCCACTATCTTACGTTGAGAACTTTGGCTTTGGTTGGCTTTATAGATAGCCTTTTTTGGGGAGGAGGGAAGAGGTGAACATTCTAGACTTTTTTTGCGGGAGGGAAGGGGGGTTGGTAAGCGAGTGTGTAATGGATATAGTTACCTGGTTTTTATTAAAAGAAAATGGAGGATTTATTTACTATCTAGTTAATGCATAGTGTCGGGTTATGTAGAATCTCAATCTCTGTGGTTGAGATATTTAGATACGTGGTTTGAAAGGATGAGGTTTATGGGAAGGGAAGGGGGGGAAGGCTTAGATATGAGTTCTTTTTTTTTGTTTTGATGGTGGATGGTGGATGGTGGATATTCGGTCTTGGGTTTTATAGCTGGGCTCAGTTTCGGGATAGTATTAGATAATATATAAAAGGGGTTCTATAGTACCTATATATATTTGGTGGGTGCTTCATGCGAGGGTCGGGTCTTCTGGAGGTAATTAGATGTTGGATGGTGTGAGGAGAGGAATGGGAAGAGTTGGTTTGTTATAATAAGATTATATTAGGTATTAGGATTAGAATTAAATTATATAGAGGTTTTATATTGATAATATTATTTTAACTTCCTTTAGGATTTTATTTTGTAATGAGGAAGAATTCTTTTAGGTTTGTAGATGAATCGATAATAGTGTTTAGACCCTTCTACGAGGGGGTATAAGCAAGGGGGTTTTTGTTTGTTAGATAATTGTAATAGCCCTAATACTTTTAATTATAATATAAATTCATTTTATAAAGTCTTATAATTACCTATGGATCTTTTTAATGTTCTAGTATATGTGATCCTAAGAATCATGGTGAAGCAGCGACAAAGGATGAGATATTTATCCAAGTCTTGAATTTCGAGATCTGGGGCTTAATGGATGGAGGGACTTTTAATAGAATTAGATGATAGTATAGAGACTTAGTAAATTACAAGATTAAGGTTATTTCCTATTATAGAGCTATTGAATGAAATTACTTTGAGATGGTAATTGCCTATGGAATCACATTTCTATTTGCTGAAGTTTTCAGAGTATTATTTGCATTGCTAAAGAGTAGATTAGTATAGATAGCTAATTAATTAATATTAGAGAGAACTACCACTTTGTATGTCTACTTCGAGCTTGTTAGATAAGCTTAGTTTGTTATTTCAGAACTCTACCTACTCCTTGCAAAGACCTTCCACAGTATCTCCATTATGAAGTAACCGCTGATCTCAAGTTTCCAGAATTTAGTTGTGATTAATGAGAGAACTACAACTTCACATGTCCACCTCGAGGGTCGAACATGTTAGGCTCTACAGGTACGAAAAAACTTGCCGATTTGAGGCATAGACTACCACTACTACCACCACCCAAAATCCCACCCATTTTACCTCCATTATCTACAATACAACCATTCAAATTACCCAGAATTATGCCCTTTATCTAGACATTATCTTACTATTTAATTTATATGTGTCATAATGAAAAGTCATGATTTAGACGTGGCATTGGGAGGTGGTGGTCTGTGCCTCAAATCGGCAAGTTTTTTCGTACCTGTAGAGTTAGGTAAGCATGGGTTGTTTATCTCGTTCCAGTATCTGTACGAGTAGTTCAAAAATACTACAGTATCTCCGTGCGTCTATAAGTAAACCGATCGCCGATCTTAACCCTAACAAATACCATCACGGAATAAAAACCGTGCTCGGATAATTCCTCAATGATAAACCTCCAGCTCAGTCATAAGCACATGAGAGGTGTTACTTCTAATTCAGCGAACGTGGAGTACATACCTACCGTATCACTACAATGCATCCAAAGCTATGACTACAAACCATCGTATCTGATTCCCCATACGAAGTTGAATAAAGCTAAGACTATCTTAATTTCCCCGGGATGCTGGGTGCCCTTCACCGACTTTTCTTAACTGCACCAATCTCGTTTGCATTTCTTCGACAGCTGTGCACACCTTCTGGAATCAGATGAAACGCATTGCGAAAAGCTTGAGGGCGTGGCGTGGCGTATTCAAGTGAGGTACTCTATTTAGGTTGATGACGGTAGAAGGAAAAGTGCCGTTCGTCGTTGCCCCCTGGAGGGATGGAATAAGCTTGATTCAAAAAGACGCGCTGCATGAAATCTAGATGGATCTCTGTAATTATCAAGAAAAGTTGGGGTTTACGAGCTCAGGAGCTGCTACCAATTTGTACAGCACCTAGATAATATTGATGTTGGCGATGTATTGGTATGGAGGTGCTCGTACGGCACTCATCAGCCCCCTGAGCCCCTGAGCCTGCCCTGCCTTCAGTCGGTGAACTGGGCTGCGAAAACCGGTAAGGCCATGATCAATGATCTCTACCTAGGTCGATACTCGTACGAAGTATGTACTACATGCGTCATCGCCCGACCAGGCCAGCTCCTGCCTGCTCTGCTCCAGCTCCAGCTTTCGGGAAGTTCTGATAAAGTAGATAGACTGATTATTGATAGGTATCCCGATCCGAGGCCGGGATCATGCGCCCCCTGAACAATGACGGGCACTGCGAAAGAGGACACGTGAAGAAGATGGGAAGAAAAAACCCCCGTCTAACCTTGTCGACTAGCGCGAACAGGGGGGTTTGGTGTTTCGTTTTCGCACCCCCCACCCCCTGGTCAGACGAGGTGGAATGTCACGATGCGTTGTACAACTTTTAATTTTACTTGCCTTGGGCGACTTTGGGGGGATGGGGGGGTGACTCTGGACCTCTGGTGATGCGCGGGTTTGGGGGGGTGTTTGAAGTTTCGCATGAATGGTGGTTTGATGAGGATCCGGTTGTGGACCGGGGGTGTTGGGTTGTGGGTGAACGTGTGGAGGGTCGAGGGACGGATGAGGAAGGATGATGGAAGCATTCCATTTTTGTTTTTTCTCTCTCTGCTCTTTCCTTTTCGGCTTTTGCTTCTTTTCCTTCGGCCGATGTTTAAATTTTTGGGTTTTTGGGTTTTTGGGTTTTTGGGTAGGGTACCGGTAGATTTACCCTTTTTAGCCTTTTTGGGGGGGTTGCTCGTTTGCTGTCAGTGCTGAAAGGCAGAGGAGCCGGGCTGACGTTGACTTTTTTGCTCCCGGGCGTTTGGGGGGATGAGCGTTGTGGTTCAGACGGAGGGGGAGGATGTTGGAAACGTGCTAAGTTGACTTTGCAGCCTTTAGGATGGAGAGGAGTTGATTTTAGTGGTGCTTTCGTAGAGGACCTGCGTCGCGATGGCAGACGTTGATGGACTTGATTGGCTGGCAGCGACGCGAGCGGCGAGCCAAAGTGTAAACAAGCCCACGCGTAAGCGCTGCCACTTTTCCGGAGCTCCAGGTCCCTTCAACACCAAGGAATCCAGTACACCACGTCCACCATCACGTCCACCACGCCGACGCAGACACAGACACACTACACTACACTACGCATTGTACGACCTCGACACACTGCTCTCGCAGCCAATTGATTTGTGCATACCAGCGACTCTTCACACAAATCCTACGCTTCAGCCATCGTTTGGGTGTTTTGATATTGGTCGGTTACAGTTACTGTACTGCTGCGCCGTATTCTTTGCAGGGAGCTTCATCGACTTGTGCCCCGAACACTTGCGGTCCTGGTTGCATTGGGAACTTGGCCTAATCATCCCGCCGCCGTGGCTGAATAAGGCTGGTGATCTTGATCCCGAGTGCTTCCACTTCCACTTCCGCCACTGGTGCTCGCGCACAATTCATCAGTTCAAGTTCAGTGCACAATTGACCCCGCGAAGATCGTCGTCTGTCTTCCCTACTAGCTCTGCTCTCGAGCTTTCTTTACTCGAGTTCATGATCTAATCAAAACCGGTTCCCTCCACGGTCCGCCAGAGTCAAGACGCAATACTCTCGCTCTCGCTCTTACTTGTATGCAAGACTGCGTACAATTGCTGCACTTACCATTGCCATAGTCATTATTGCAATTGTACTCACCCTCGCCCTCACATTCACTCACTGCACATCTGCTCTCCTGCCAGTCATCAAGCTTTCCTGCGCGCGCTCACTCGGCATCTGCACTTGCATTGCTGCAGGCCCAAGGAGACCTTGGCTTGATCCTCCCCCGCTATCACACAATCAAGCACCACCTCTGCCTCTGGCCCTCTCGCCAAATTGAGCGCTAAGACCGGTCTTCCAAGGTCCTGTCCCTCCAAAACTTCCTTGGTCTGCGCCCAGCAGCCCAGCACCACCAACTCGTTCGGCAACAGGCCCTAACCAGTGACCATCAAGCGTCACACATTCACCCTCACCCCTACCCCTGTCACCCTAGTCTGGCATACAGGCATCCGCCACAATCCATATCGCGACCTACGCTCCACTTGCACACCCCTACACCTCCTCATCCATACTACTGTACTGCACCATTCCGCCAACTCTTTCTCCCCGAAGAAACTTCCCTCTCCTCTTCCCCTCCGAGTACAAGCAAACTGGCCGAAGAAACAATCTCACGATTGCTTCCAAAATCGTCCATTTCCGGCCATTATCAGCATATTTCCAACATATTCTATTGTTGGAAACTCTCCCCACCCGCTCTTGGACCAGTCACGACTCACGTTCAACGTTGCCCTTGCTTGACGGCAATCCACCTTAATCTCGCTCCACCATCCGATCCGATCCAGCCAGCGCACACTCAGGCACCCACTACAGTACAGCATCCATCCCTCCACGGCCTTTTCGTCTGACTTCAAGGAGAATCATACTCATCAGCTCGGAATTTGCATACATCTAACCTTCGGTACCACCGTTCACTCGCCCGTACAATATCGACCTCACTCTTTCACCAACACCCCAAAAAACGCGTTGAATTAATCCAATATTTGACCGCCCTCGAGCCTCTCGCGTCGTCGACTTCTCACCATGTCGTCGACGCGTTATTCGCAGCAACCGCTGCAAATTTATCAAGATCCCGTCTCGTTCGACCATACCCCTATGCCATTCTCGAAGAATGTCCCCAACCAAAAGAAGACATCACCACTTCGCTCTATCAAAGATGCTTCGTCGAGGAGGAATATTGTCTTTAGCCCACCGCAGGGCGGACAGAACAAGCGGTCGCCCTTGAAATCGCAGCCGACCTCAAGTTCGCCTTCAAGAGCAGTATTTGGCAGCAACAAACTCAACCGTAATTCTATTGCAATGCCACCACCAGGAGGACCTCTACATAGCACCGATTCCATGGAGAAGAAGCCTCTGATGACAAATTTCAAGACCGGAGCTCCGCAAAATACTTTATACAACACTTTCGAGGCGAACGAGAAAGAAAACTTTCGTCAGCCATTTTACACTGGAAATCAAGGTGCATACACTGGCATTTCGCAAAGCAACTTTTCCCTCGACGGCTTCTACAACAGTAAACCACCCCCAAAGCGATTACTAGACGCTGCGCCAATAAATGAGGGAAGATCGTTCAAGAAGACACGAGTGGAGGACCTTTCTGCAGAACTTTCCATGGAACCAATAGAGCAGCTGCCTGCGCCAGATTCATTTCCACCTATCCATGATGACGGAAACAAGCCTCCTCATAGTTACGCTACCTTGATCGGCATGTCCATTCTAAGAGCACCAAATCGACGTTTGACTTTGGCACAAATCTACAAATGGATTTCCGATAACCATTCTTTCTATGGCGCAAATGATGCTGGATGGCAAAACAGTATTCGTCATAATCTCAGTCTTAACAAGGCATTTATCAAAAAGGAACGACCAAAGGATGATCCAGGAAAGGGAAACTACTGGGCGATCATGCCTGGAATGGAACATCAATTTATCAAGGACAAACCAAGCCGAAAGGCCGCGTCTGGTGGATCGAGTGATAATACTCCCATCATGTCGGCTCACCCCATGCCAGCTCCTCGACCCTCCTTGCCTGATTATCCTCAATCCGCGGTTTTCAAGCCGTTAGCTTCCGCACCCCAAGAATTACCATCCTCCAAACCAGCTTACTCGCTTCCAGAGGTACAAAAACCACTCAACAAGGAATTTTCTTCTGATGCCACTATTCCGGACAATCACGCTGAGGAAGAGCAGAACCAAGAAAACACACCTTCATCACCTCTGATGCGATCATCACCCCCGCCAATGCATTCCTCCCCTCCAGTATCTCGTCATGCATCAAGAAGAAATGATACACCTCCACCTGTTCCCCGCTTCTCACATTCCTCTGCCAATCGATCACACAAGCGCAAATTTGCATCCATGGACGACAGTGGTTATTTTTCATCTTTGGACTCATCAGCACTTCGTGGAAATCGACCCATGATATCCGAGGCTGATCGGCCCAGAATCAAGAGAGGTCGGGCCGAGGAAGAGATTGCTCGCCTTCGTGGCTCATCTTATGATAGTCCTACCAAGAAGAATCGTTTCGCTCCTCCCTCATCATCGCCTTACCGACAAAGTCATCCGCCCAAAAACACCTCTCAAATGCTTCCACCGTTGACCCCAGCGGTAAAGCTTAGAGCACCACAACGTCCACCACCTTCCGTCTCACCAAACACCAATCTCAAGATGCATCGTGAAATGGTTCGAGAGATGGTCGGCTCACCACTTAGAGGCGTAACAACTATGGATGATGGTCTACCCTGGAGCCCTGCATTCAACCTCGATGACACAAATCATATGTTCAATGACTTTTCAAATGGCGAATTCGATATCTTCAACGACAACAACTTCCTCTCAATTCCAGGTAACGGATCCCCAGAGAAGAGATCAGCAAAGCGACCTCGAATAGATCGTGCCAGATCAGCCAACATTCTTGCTGAAATCTCAAACCGTGAGAATGCCAACAAGACACCTTCTCTCAAGCTTACCCCCAGCCTTGCCGCTTCAGTCTTCGGCTCACCTATTCGAGGATTTGGACTCATGGATTCGCCCAGTAAATTACTCAACCTCTCATCTCCAAGCAAGATTCCTTCACCCAACTTCAACCTCGACGCCTTTGATCTTCCCAACGACGAGTTCTTTGGCAACGAGTTCGTGGCTGATGATGATCTGAATGAATATGCCGGTGTCGATATCATGCAGGGATTCCAGAAGATTGGTGCCGGTGGACAAACCTCTCGCAGTACGCCAAAAGCCAATTCGAGACCTAATTTCAGTCGTAGCTTTACATCTCGCTTTTGAATAAGCACATACACACATCATGTACGACATCTTTGAGTGCAAGTCTCTGCTCCAGCTTTTCGCTTTTCACAAAAGCATATACAACACGCGTGCAACATCTTTGAATTACAATTGCATTTGGGGGTAGAGGGTAGCATGATTTTCCGATTGTTCTCTTTTTGCAAAGTTTGTTTGGTTTTTTGCGTTGGTTGGGTTTTTACGGTTCTCTTTGATACCATGGATAGGGTTGGTGACGAATGTTACGAATATTATGAACTTTGGTGGGTGGAGAACGATCGATCTTCTTCTTTTTGGGAAGCCTATGGGTTACCTGGATAGTATGAATTTGGATCTGGAGGAGGATGAGAAGAGCAGGGGAGATTGGAAAATCGTGGTGCAGGAAATGATCATGTTAATGATGGGTGGAGTTAGATGGATCTAGGTCGGATGGGATGGATCTTGCTTTGCTGCGCCTTTGGTATGCTAAGACTTGGGGATGAAGGGTCTCGGGACCTGTTTCGTGGGGCATCATTCGTTTGGTCATTCATTCTCTCTCTCTCTCTCTCTCGGTTCTTGGGACGGAGTGGATGGACTTGCTTGTTTGTGTTGATGATAATGAGGGTTCGGTTCTTTTTTCGCCTTGCCGTTTTTCGTTTTTTTCTCTTTTACCATCGAGTAAATACGGGATGGGAATTTGGGAGGATCTTTTTCTCTTGCTTTTTCACAGTTTCGGTTCTCTCTCGCACTTCCTGTTTTTGATGTCGGACTATCTTTGCTCTACTTTGCTTTTCTGCGATTTGGCTGTCGGTTGGGGAGTTTTGGGGACAGTCAAGTCGGATGGCGATCGTGGAATGGATTGGAATGTGGTGATTGCTGGTCTAATTCTTGCAAGCAATTCTTCTAGGGATGGATGGCATTGTCCTTGGTTGGGGGGCCCTGGATTTGGGCAGCTCACTATAGATAGATGGCATAGGGATAGTGTGAGCAACTGCAATGCTGAATATTGAGATTTGAGGGTTTTTATATTGGGGTTGTGATTGTGATGATGAGTTGTGTGAGACCTTGGTGATTGGATTTCATATTTGATATATATTTGCTGGAATTTCTGGTGATTGGTTGTCATTGGTTCCTTGTTTTGTTATGGTATATATTATATTCTGTTGAGGTACAGTGTTAAGTCCTTCCTTTCCTTTGTGTTTTCTGGGTCTGTTTTTTCTGTTTTTCTGGGGGGTGGATAGAATGAGGTAGGTAGGTAGGTAGGTATTTTATGAGATGGAAGGAAGGAAATGAAATGGAAGGATCTCCTCGTTCGTTAGTATATTACATCTTACGTATATATATCTTTTATGTTTCTTACTTTATGGGTGTGATAGATAGGGTGTGGGTGTGTGTGAGAGGTAGAGTTTCTTCTTCCCTTTCCTTTGTTATCTTATCCTAAATCCTACGAGAGCTCTACGTTGTTTAGATTGCCAGTGATACTATCGTTTTAGGTATCCCTCAAGAGTCGGATTTCCTGGGAATCCTACTGTGGAAGGGTATGGGGATTTGTGGGGTTTCTGGGGTTTCTGGGGGTGGGTGTTGGGGGGTTTTGGGATGAGGGGATGAGGGGGAGAGGGGATGGAACTGGAACTGGAACTGGAACTGTGGGTTCTGTTATTTCTGTGGATTGTTGGGTTGGTGGGTTGATCAGTCGACTAAAGGAACAGTTAGAGAGGTAGGAAAGGGAGGGGGTGAGTGTCATTCAGGGATGTTGGATCGTGGGTTAGGCTAGAAATCTATCTCATAGGCTAGGAGTGGCGGTAGGGGGATTAAGTGTAGTGATGGGGGGTGGGAGTTTAGGGTGGTTGATGGGAGGAGGAAGAGAGGGGAAGGAAGAGTGAGATTTTTGATTGTGGACGATTTAGGATAAGGTGTGTTTTGAAGAGATGAGTTGTATATATAGAAAGAAAGCGGGAGGGAAAGGGGGGAACCTAATTAAGATGGGTTATTTTGAATCTTTATTTTTGGTGGAGTGGTGAAGTAATACTTGTTGGCTTCAGAGTATATAATATTGATTGGTCGGAAAAAACTCTTAGTAATCATACCTCACTATGAAGACTTGACCATTATATACTCCGAAGCCAACAAGTAAAGCGTCCTTTCTTTTGGCTTCCTTCTTTATATCTTTTCATATTTTTTTATATTCGCTTCCTTGAGGAGTTGGGAAGAGTACGTAGTATCGCGAATGCGAGGGACTTGGATGAAGGGCGGTACGGTAGATCTACTATTGTGTTAATTAGGTAACTAACGGAAGTCTATACATTGAATAAGGATTCAAAGAGCTATCTATGATTTGTAATACTCCTGTTAGCGAGTATGTAATCCCAATGAAGAAAAGGAAAGTAGGAGGAACTAGGGTAGTAGTACTAGGCAAAGATGTAAGAGCTTTAGTAAATCACGGGCAATCTGTTACGATGTATTCACGTGTTTATTCACGTGATATTCCAGGCTATATGTACGCCTGGAATCTACGTAGTAGTCATACAATTAATCATATACTACTACTACTACTACTACTACTACTACTACTTTTGTACCTTTGTTGTCCTTCGTCGTCGTACTTTTACTACTGTTTTTATACCCTAATTATTCTACCAAGTTATACTAACACCGATCAGTGTCCTACAGATTAATCAACTTAGTCTAGGAACACTTATCAGTCTGTTCGCTGCTTACTTTGACGCACACGTACGTCCTTTATTATCGCAGTAGAGCATGCCCTCGGACAGGACTTGAAGAGCAAGGACTTTGTCACTGTCGCAGTAATAGTACGTGCGACGCTACGTCAATACTCGACCTCTTAATTGAGCCATTCGAGTCCTCGATAGCTATTTGTACTCGTCTGCTACTACGTTTTCGAAGACGAGACACGTAAATTCGATAATGATCCTACTTTCCGGAGTATACGGAACATACGGAATACCTACGGGACCTCCTTCAAACCGACACCCTAGGCGGATATTCTCTTCTAGAGAGACTCCCTCTCTCACCCCTCGAGCCGACACTTCTCGAGTAAAGAGCCTCGAAATTACGCATTTGTACTATACAAAATCACCCTGCAAAAGAGCCTCGGAATCGCGTATTTGCGCCACAAAACCACCCCGCAAAAGAGCCTCGGATCACGCATTTACACTACAAAAGAGCCTTATTTTCATACGTCATCCGACGGAACAACCCACCCTTCGACGGTATCGCAACATATCGCCAAGACTTGAAATTGGCCCGAAGCGACTTAATTACACTTTTTGACTTTGGTTTTACCGTTAAATCCTACCCCCTCAAACGCTATTCGAGCTTGTGGTTGTCCTTTCGTACCGGCTTGATCTTGCGGATCGAGTAGAGACAGACCTTCCCCTCCTGCCGTGTATACTAGAGACGCCCCCTCCCCCCCGAAATAAGCGACGAACCACCTCCTGTAAGAATATTAAGGCCGAGGCTCTCTAAATCCGTAGCCAAATACCAGCTATTCATATGTTGATTATCTAGGACTCCCTATAACAACACAATTACTTTTGCGGCAATTAAATCCTAATTATCCTGCTATATAACCAACCCTAGGACCTTCGACTATGACTGCCTAAGCCACTTATGGCACTTCTGCTTCGAACCCAAGAAGCACCCCTCTTGCCGGCGACCTACTAGCGATTTTACAGCTAAAACCACCTAGCATCAACCGGAGACCCCCGGCAAGCGATATCGGGGACGACCTAGGAAACACCTACCATTACTCGAGACTCTTATTACTTTTGAGCCCCGAACATCAGATAGTAAATTGAGTGCCGAGGATCTCGAAGAGATTAATTGTTTTAAGGAATAAAAATCTTTTAATCTAATCGATCCCTCGGAAGTACTGCCAAATGTTACCGTAATTGGTTCCAAATTCGTCTGGAACGTCAAGGGCGAGGGCACCATAAAACAACGGGATAAATCGAGGCTCGCTATACCAGCTATTATACCGAACGAGGCTCCTACAATTGATAGGCGAACAAGGCTCAAGATGGCCTTCAAGGCTGTAAACGATACAGCTGGAACCTCGGGACTTGTCCCAACACTGCTCGTATATGGAGCCTACACTAGGATGACAAATGAAGACGCTCCTAGTGCGAACATGATATAAAGAGCCGTCGCACAGCAAAAGGCGATGAAAGAAGTCAGACGGTACTACGTATTGTACTAAGTACAGCGTAGGCTGAGTAGTCGCAATGGGTCCATTACCTCACACCTCAAAGGACTACCACTTCTACACCCTGTATACGTATGGCGCGAAAAGGTTGGATGGACAGGACGGATCGTACCCACTTGTTAAAGTAGAAGGAGAAAATGCCATCATCAAACCTCCAAGTCTAAAAGGAGACACACCTTTCCAAACTACAGTGGTTCGTCCATATCACCAAGGAAAAGGTAGACTCGGAAGGGGCTAAACAAGACGATTATATAATTATCGACCCCCTTGAAATAAGCGACGGATCACCTCCTGCAAGAATATTAAGGCTGAGGCTCTCCAATAAGAGCTTCGACAACACGACAAAACCTGTCGAGAGCCGAACCACCATAAAAATCCGCTAGGACCACGGCAGAACCGACAACAACCTACCTAGCTAATCCTGTCCATCTAACTATTTCCTATCTCTAGCTAAGTAATTATAGTATTCTGCCTGTCTATTCTATCTATCGCTTGCTTACCCTTTGCTAATTGTATTAGGCTAAAACAAAAGCGGGTAGGGACGTATACTATTATCTTCTGGTGAGTATGGATGTTTAGGTGGGACGAGGTGGGGGTTTGATGAGTTGAGGGGTGGAGATGGGATGTATGGTGTTTTGGTGTTTGATGTACATAGATTACAGTAGAAGACTGCGATGCAGAAAGTGAGATGGGCGACGTGGATTTGCGTGGGGGCATAGCATGTGTAGTGGTATCTATCTGATGGAGCTGAATAAAATAGGATGCAGAAGGTGAGATGCGATAGACCCTGACGCGCTCAATCTCAGGTCCTCAATTTATGGGTCTCGGAAATTTGCGAGGTACGATTAAAAATGGTTGGGCGACTCTAGGAAACTACATTATGATGCGCTAGAGAAGTGGGAATTGAGATGTTCTTGTGAAGATGGGGTTCTGGAGTGCTGGTGCTGGTGCTGGGAACAAGAGAAGTTTAGCCGATTGGACCGCTTACTCTCTCGCTTCAACTGACGTCCCCCCTATTTCCTAATTTGGGGTGTTTGGGCACTGCACGGCGTGGAGGGGATGCGCATCGTATTTGTATTGAAATTGGAGAGGTGGTAGATGGATTGCTGTTTGGATGAGATTGGTTGGTACTTGGTGTGGTGTGGTGGGTAAGTCTTGGAAGTGAGAAGAGTTTTGAACAATGCGATTCCTGGTCAATTTGAAGATTTCCAGATGATGAACTAGGTTCATATGTTCCCAGAAATAGATGCATAGCTTGATCAAGACAGTGGTTGAATATTCCAATAGGTATGGCTGACAGCTGCCAGATTTAGTGTCTTCTCCGCCAGATGTGCTCTGAAGGTGACAGAATTGAAGCTTACGTTAAGTTGGCTGTTCTGGATTCTGCAGTGATGAGTTTCATAGCGAAAAGAAGAGATCACTAGCGGTACGATGAGGGTGTTTGGGTGGCAGGGCAGGTAGGGGTCCAGGGCTGGGAGGCTGGTCCATAGGCAATATTGCAAGCAGCACAAGATATCTACTCCAGATGCTTGTGCTCCCACGTTTGGAAATAGGATACTCTAGGACTTCCCACTCAGACTTTGAGGGGATGGGAGTGGGGAACAACTTTCTTTGGCTGTAATCCAGTATGTCGCTGAGATGTTAATTAAATCGCAGTTTGTGGCCAAACAAATATACCACAGTCAGGTGGTGACACCAAGGAAGTGAACGATGTGATATGGCTTCCTTTATCTCCAAGGGACCAATGTACAGTGTCAACAGAGGAGGTATCAGTTCCACATCAAAGATACACAACCAAACACACCAGAGAAAGACACAACCCTGCCCACCTCGCCCATCCCTCCACACAGTCCACCACCAGCAGAACAACCCACCAATCTTGGTGCGGACATAATCAACAAGCCACCAGCACCCCCAATATCCACAAACCACACAATCTCCCTAGCAATCCCAAAATCTCCTATCATTGGTCCATTTTCGCCCTTGCTCCACAAACCCCACCAGGATTTCTCCCAGTCTAACCCAAAACATCAAAGAATCGGAGCTCTCATGTGACCTCCCCAACCCTCTCCCCCCACCAGAATATATTTATAGGATGCAATAAGACTTTGGAGGTCATCAAATCAAGCACAGACAGGTTTTGTGGTGTAATGGTAGCACAGAGGTCACTATGTTGATAGTAGACGTCGGGATGGGGTTCGATTCCCTGCAAAATCATCTCTTCCTCATCGTTTTCGCCATGTAGTGTGGCGAAATTGATGTTGAGGGGACCATCTTTTTGGTTCTTGATTGTCTATTTTTGGGGTTGAGAGGGATTGATCGTTGTTGGGAGGTCTTTTTGGGGGAGTATACTTTAAGCGAGGGTGGTGTTGTGGTGGGTTTATTGGTAGCTTGGCGCCGATGTTTCAGGGGAACGTTAGGGTAGATTGTGATAGGAGAGTGGTTGGATGTTTGGGTTTGTGCTTAGTTCTGTAGATTTCTGGTTGCTGTGGTTCTTTGGGCGTTGTTGGGTTGTGTTCTTGGGATGGCGATGTCTTTAACAGCCTATACGCGACATGAATTGGCTTTGACGAAAAACACGCAACGTTGTGAGAGAGAGGGATTGTAATGGGATGATATAAAAGAAATTGCATTCTGAATTTGTTGGGTTTTGATATCTTGCCAACGTTCTTTTGATTGAAGGGGATATTTGAATGTGGTTGTGTAGTTGGGTTCTGTGCATTAGACAATCATTTAAATAATGATACCTGCAAGTCATTCAGTGGTAGGTAGTCATTGGTGAATGGGGTTTGCAAAATCTGGTGCAAATCACAATGAACGCCATAAATTGTTTCCTTTCATACATTTTATGGGGATTGGGTTGCTAGTTTTTACACTGGGAAAGGTAAGATGTAAGTTCCCAGAGGATCTAATTGTCATTATGATATTGGAAGGGGTATCAGGAGGCCAAAGGAACTGAATAGAGTAGTCAAAATACATCCAACTTATATAAACGCCTCTGCCTCTGCCTCTCTCTTGATAGCTGAAGGAAGTTCGTCGAGCGGGACCTCCCACCCCCCCCCTTCTCCGCCGAGCGCGCTAATCTCCCTAGCACAACAAATCTCCAGTTCTACTTCAACCAAGTCGATACCGTACCCCAAAGCGGATTCATCAAAAAAACACCCCGAAAGTCCTTGGAAGAAAAAAGAGTAATGTCTCCCAGCCACTTCTGTCTGCGCCAACCAGCCACCCAGCTCATTGGGCCAAGTCAAAAAGCTTCATGAGCACAGGCAAGCGACTCCGACGCCAGAAGCTCTCGGTGCTGTACAAAGAATAGCTGAAGCTAATTCTCGGACAAGTCAACTCGGAGATTGGTGCGCCACTCATTCTTTTTTGGGAATGTTCTATGCTGACATGATTAGGGGTTATTACCGAGTAGGAGATGATCAGACCCGACAACTATTATGCTTGGTACCGCATGGCGGATGTGACTTGGGCGGCACAGCATCAGCGGAATTGCGACATCGATCAACGACTGGGAGTCGTCGGGGGAGCGGTCGAGGAACGGTTGGAAGACAAAAGAAAGACGAGTTCCCCGGATGATTCTACAGGCCCGGCGAGCCACGAAAAGGAGGAAGTCGAAGCGACCTATTCCCTTCTAGGACATTTCTTCTGGTCAGGAGGTCCACTTGCGGAAGGAGGATTTTTCGGAGTTATCTTTGCGTCAAGAGAATCCTCAGGTAATTTACTACTTTCTTCCCAAATTCTACACACTAACATAGTTAGCTTCTGATACCAACGAAAAGGAGATGGTTGCGGCTGTGATGGCGGAGGCGGAGGCGGAGGCGGAGGCGGCACAACAACGAACGAATCGTGAAATCGGCCATCGATTTGATCGTATCTTTGATAGTATCGACGAGCTCGATAGTATTGAGAAGCGACCTGATAGTATCGACAAGTGACCTGATAGTACCGACGAGCGACTTGACTCCCTCGAGAAAGCGACTCGCATTACCCAAGAAGGACTTCTTGACCTCGCTGAACGTGTACGTGATGCCGAAGACCGTTTGGATGCCATGCACAAGCCACAGGTAGCTGCTGATTCTGGACTTTCGGGATGGTTCAAGAGCATGATGTGGAAGAGCCCTACTGGGTAGAGGAGCAATGGAAAAGGAGCTTAGATTGCGAGAGGGAGAACTGGTAGCTGACTTTCAGATGGTTACGGAACCTCTGGTATTGTGAGTGAGGTTGGGAATTGATTGTCAACTTTGCATGACTACTTTGGGGTACTTTCATTAGTCTTCTCGTGATCAATGAGAATTATGCGTCTGAGACCTCTTAAACTGTGCTTAGTATTGTGAAGCTTGGAATTGTGCTAAATGTAGACCATTTTCGTAAACGATCATTCTTATAGAGAAATCTTACATCATACTCTCACGCTGTCAACAAATTCTTTTGCATCTTTAGAAACTGTTTTGTGTTGCAAGAAAATGTTTGAGACTGGCTGTGGAGCTAAAGGTTGTACATGATGCGGTTGTCCGTAGGCCTTCATGGGTATGTGGCCAATATTGAATGAGATTTACAAATATGACTTTATATTGTATGGATACATGAAATGGCTCTCTTTGTTCAGTTGATAGTGTTGTTATTACCTGAGATAAAGTCTGAGATGGTCGTTGTGTCAAGTCTCTAAAGCAGGGGGTGAGGTTTGTTTGAAAGGATCAAGTTTTCTTTGTAAAATCATCAGAGAGGTATCAAAAGCCTTTGTAGAGAGATGGCAGTGCCTCATACACTCAATATTTTATATCAGCACCACAAATTCCCTTCCAGATGGTAATTCAGAGGTCCCTGGGCTACATGACTCCAACGAACGTTGCCTTTCTCAATCCAGCTGCCGTTAACCTGAGACCCAAATCGCAAGACAATTCTTCCAACGCATTCCAATCCCTACCCCAAGAAAGAAAAATGGCTGAGCCTCGCTCTTCTTTCTTTAGATGCCGCAGTAGGCGCCTGCCCCAAGATGAAATTAGACGCGATGCGAGAGATGCACTGAACGCAGTGGATCGGCGGGTGGCTGCGGCACGTAGGCGAGTAGAATTGGAAGCAGCTCGCCACAATCGCCAACGTCTTCTCGAGCCACGCGAGAATCCTCCGTTTGATACAGCCTCAAGTGAGTATTCATCTATTCCTGGTATACCCTCTATGCTGTTGCGCCTTTTACTGAGATACAAAAAGCAGCCGCGGGGGGCTTCGTTATCCCGCTAATACTCCATACCATTTGGACCACTAGAGCTGAAATCGACTTGCATGCACAGCGTGACCTTAAACAAGAGTTTGAGCGCCGGATTCGAATGTTAGAGGAACCTCGTGAAGAAAGTGTTGGTAACGAAGATTTTGAGGAACGAATTCAGCATTTGGAGGCTCGGATTCAAACATTAGAGAACTCAAGAGAACAACGTGAAATTAACGACTATTTCGAGGAACGAATTGATAATTTGGAAAACCTTCGCAATGGAATACTGCGAAGATATTGGAGACTGCTTGTTGGATGACGTGAGAGGCCTACTGAAGAACATCATGGGAACCACCGGCAAAAAAGCAGTACTTTGGTACTGGACTATGCGTTTTAAGGCTGCTGTGAGACTAGGGCCCCCAATGGAGATGGGCTGTTCGCTTTTTGCTTTAGACGGCTTGTATTGCGGTTTTTGGGAATAAGATATGAATTTGAGGATCTCCATCAGTTGCTTGAAATTGAAAAAGCCCGCGCACCTTGTTTTCAAGATTCTTGTGAATAATAGATAGAATTTGCTAAAACTTTTTTTTTTTCAGGAGGGCCTCTTACCGTTTTCCATACCGAGTTTGGTAGCAAGATGCAACTCTCATTCCAAAGCAGTAAACTCGACGAATCTTGTCATTTGCATTCCAGCGAGTCACCAAAAACAGAAAGAGTCATTGAGGTCTCCTCTTTGCCATGTTTCCACTTCTGATGGCTTATGAATACAAACAATATGGCGACTCATACGAATAAATGTGAGCACGTAAGGTGTTGGTTTAACTTTAAGTTAATAGAGCCGAAAAGACAATAAGGAAAGTATAATACAAGGCTAATAGTTTAGTATTGAATATATTATATTATAAAGACTATTAGTTGTATTTACCGAGTAAAGGTATTACAAGTACTGTTACGGAGTTGGAGGGACTGGGGTCTGGTCACGTGTAGCACGGCACGTAAGTAGCCTTAAGCGGTATTTACTTATACCGATACACCAACCTTTTCAAGACAAATAAAAAACGCGTAATATTAACGCGTTTTTATTATTGAATCACTCTATCATATCTACCTACTGAGCTCTTACTCCTTGCAAAGCGCAGCCGCGCCTAGCGCAGACGCGCGTTGGCCCCAAAAATGGCCCCCCCGCCCCCTACAACATCCTCAGCTACCCCCCCCAGCCTACCTCTATGTCCTACCAACTAGAGAACATTATAAACGCAGCTACAACCCGCGCAGAGGAAGCCCGGCTTGTGTTCAGCCCTATCGCAGCTCTTTGGGACGACTACAGACAATCCGAAGACGTCCAAAAGCTCCCCTCAAGGCTCCGCAAACCCCTCTCTACCCTGTGCACAGAAATCACAGAAGTAGTAAACAAGCACTTTGAGTCATATATCAAAGGTGCCCCTCTACGTAAACATATTCAGACGCCTAGCTTTACGCCGTTAAGCGCCTCACACGCAGCCCCTGACACCCAAGCTACCCCAACCTCCTGCAGAACATACGCAGCAGCAGCTTCTACCCCCCTCCCAATCACAC